TTCGGCTGTTTTGACGAATAATGGATTTTTTCAAATTTGTCATGTATAAATAAAGAGGGGTCAAAAACGGAGGGTTCCGGACTTGGTTTGGGGAAACGGCTAGTAGGGAGTGATAAGGTAGATTATATTGATGTCAGAAATGTAAAAAAATTTTGGGTCTTCGGCTGTTTTGACGAATAATAGATTTTTTCAAATTTGTCATGTATAAATAAAGAGGGGTCAAAAACGGAGGGTTCCGGACTTGGTTTGGGGAAACGGCTAGTAGGGAGTGATAAGGTAGATTATATTGATGTCAGAAATGTAAAAAAATTTTGGGTCTTCGGCTGTTTTGACGAATAATGGATTTTTTCAAATTTGTCATGTATAAATAAAGAGGGGTCAAAAACGGAGGGTTCCGGACTTGGTTTGGGGAAACGGCTAGTGGGGAGTGATAAAGTGGATTATACTAATGCCAGAAATGTAAAAAAAATTTGGGTCTTCGGCTGTTTCGACGAATAATAGATTTTTTCAAATTTGTCATGTATAAATAAAGAGGGGTCAAAAACGGAGGGTTCCGGACTTGGTTTGGGGAAACGGCTAGTAGGGAGTGATAAAGTGGATCATACTGATGCCAGAAATGTAAAAAAATCTTGGGTCTTCGGCTGTTTTGACGAATAATAGATTTTTTCAAATTTGTCATGTATAAATAAAGAGGGGTCAAAAACGGAGGGTTTCGGACTTGGTTTGGGGAAACGGCTAGTAGGGAGTGATAAAGTGGATTATACTGATGCCAGAAATGTAAAAAAATTTTGGGTCTTCGGCTGTTTTGACGAATAATAGATTTTTTCAAATTTGTCATGTATAAATAAAGAGGGGTCAAAAACGGAGGGTTCCGGACTTGGTTTGGGAAAACGGCTAGTAGGGAGTGATAAGGTAGATTATATTGATGTCAGAAATGTAAAAAAATTTTGGGTCTTCGGCTGTTTTGACGAATAATAGATTTTTTCAAATTTGTCATGTATAAATAAAGAGGGGTCAAAAACGGAGGGTTCCGGACTTGGTTTGGGGAAACGGCTAGTAGGGAGTGATAAAGTGGATTATACTGATGCCAGAAATGTAAAAAAATTTTGGGTCTTCGGCTGTTTTGACGAATAATAGATTTTTTCAAATTTGTCATGTATAAATAAAGAGGGGTCAAAAACGGAGGGTTCCGGACTTGGTTTGGGGAAACGGCTAGTAGGGAGTGATAAGGTAGATTATATTGATGTCAGAAATGTAAAAAAATGTTGGGTCTTCGGCTGTTTTGACGAATAATAGATTTTTTCAAATTTGTCATGTATAAATAAAGAGGGGTCAAAAACGGAGGGTTCCGGACTTGGTTTGGGGAAACGGCTGATATGGTGTGATTGACTAGATCATATACATGCGAGAAGTGTCCAAAACATTTTGGTCTTGAGCGGTTTTGAAAAGCTATAGATGATTATATAGCTTCTAAAATATTAGGTTTTAAAGGGGGGTCAATTTGCGGTATCTGTGAATGAGATAGCACGGATTTGAACTTAGCGTAAGTAAAATATGCTTTTTCTAATCAATTGACGTGAAAACCGCATTTCTCCAGGTTTATTTTAATGTAATATCAATTTTTTCGCGTTTCTCCTCACTTTGAGGAAGGTTTTGGAGGAGGGAGATAAAACTCTTACAGTACATAGAAAGCCCGTAATACAATCGAACTACGTGAAAACCGCATCGATTTATGTTTATTTGGACCTAAATTACGTCAGTAGAAGTGGTAATGGCAAATTTTCGTCACTGCTGCCTTTTTACCGTTTCGATCAGAGCGTGATCGATCGGAACTTCAGCCGCATGAAAACAAGTTATAAATGAAATAATTAACATAGTACATGACACATTAGGATATTGATTTCAATACATTTTACGTCGTAACGTTAACTCTATTTTTTTTTATCTTTCGGACAAATTGTATAGCGCCAAAGGTCGCCGACTTGAACCCAATTGACTTTATGTGTATGGCTACTACAAAGTAATGATAGGCGCCTCACAAAAAAAAGGTAGAGATCCGTGAGACGGACCATGTTGTTTTTTTGTATTATTAGACGCTGAGACGTCTGGGATTCACGACATTAAAAATTGTTGGAATTTTTGGTTATGTCGCTTTTTTAAATGTTGAAATATAGTAATTTGATTGAATGGTGCTTATGATAGTTAAGCCTCAAGTGTTAGCTAAATAATAAAGAAAATATCAGGAATTTATCTCGCGTATTTAAGTTATAACTAAAAAAAGGATGCTCTACTTCTGGGCTTCTGCTTATCTCTACTAATTGGGAAACCGTGTACAAACTCTATTCTCTGGACGGTATATATACCAGGGCAGCCCGAAAAGTATTTAGCTTACAAAAGAACAACATATTTTTTTTATTTCTCAACGTAGACTTCTTTTATACTGTACACCTGATCCAACTTGTTCTACCCGCCCGAAAAATAGGTTTTCTGGAGGTCTGCAAAGTTGGCAAACGTTTGGAAATTTCAAGATAATTCTTAGTCCTTTTTTTAATCAAAGCGAAATGTTTAGCTTGAAATAATACTGATTATTTGTTGCAGGCTTGTCTCTGTGGTTTAAAATCAGGAAAACCTGACCTGGAATACGACTAACACACTGTGTAACTGTTGAAAGCCAGGCTGTGATAAAATGTAAATGGGAATAATGGAAGAGAGCACCCAAAAATACCATGCACAGTTGTATTAGATTAAGAAACGCATTGAGTGTGATCACAATATAACAAAAAACATCATTCACAATATAAAATAAAATTGTAGTTATATATTATCTCATTGTAGCCAATATTAGGTCGTTTTTTAGATGTATGTGAGTTTCGTTGCATTTCATATCAACTACAAAGAATCGCCAAAAACCTCCCGAATACCGCAAATATCCAGGTTTGAATTTGGGTAAAATGTTTTACATTAATAGGGCCCTACGGTGCTTTCCTGTGTGTAACCACAAAATCGAGCACCAAAAAAGGGGTTGCTCACATTGACTTGTTCCCCGTGTTTCTAAAGGACTCGAAGCGGAAACCAAGGGATAATATCTTCACGCAGATATTGACAGATACCTCCGACAATCGCACCAATTCATAGTGTAGACAGCTAAAAGTTACTGAAGACCTGACCTTGATCTTTTCCAAAAATACCTTACGCAAGAAAATAAAGAGCCGTTCCGGTACTTTCGAGTCACGATGTATGTTTTGTTTTGATTTTGTAATGGGCGTGGCTTCCTTTGAGATTGTTTATTAAGGTTAGCTTTTGACGTCTGTCAAAGTTGGTCTTCAAATTAACCCTATTTCACGGTAGAATAACAGCTGGTTATCTAGTAATATTTCAAAATTCCCCGTATGGGCAAAGGACACATAATTAGACACAGCCATGTTTTGTTTTATTTCATTGTACGCTACTGATTCATAAAAGCTCTTTTATTTATAAAAGTTCATTTGGATACAAAAAACAAAACCATACAAACAAATGTTCGCCAGATTTACATCCGATTCATTATGCACACTAACAGAAATGTCACTTGCAGATCAGCTGTTCACCTCAGCAGACGTCATGGATACTCGTGAAATAGGGTAAACCAAGTTTATAAATTTATCTTAGCTGCTAACCGTAGCGTTACAATAACGGTACGGCAACGACCGCAAGAACGCACTCGCACAAAAGTGAATGCATTGATTTATTTTTTACAAAAAAAGCAATCGGATCGGTTGACTCAATCAGTAATTTAAATATGCGTTACGATAACCTTCAATGAATTGCGTCGCCTATTTTTAAACACAGCAGCTTTTAATTGTCTGTTATCAGCGGACATTTCCATATGTACCCAATTATTCCAAATTGAGAACAGTGATTTATGAACGACGACTTTTTACACTTGCCGATACAATTTTCAATAGGATTTTTTTAATGCATGCAAATTATAGATATGGCGATTTTTCATACTAAATAACTTTTAGGTTTTTGCGAGTTTAATTTATCGCATACTTTTAATTATATAAAGTTTTAGTACACCTATAAATAGCTTATCGTATTTAATTTAAAAATACTTATTTAAATGTATTTTGGCGATGCTTAACACAGTCCGTTAATTTAGTTCGCGTAATATTCATCGACGCAAAGATTTATATGCGAGATAAAGAGTGGAAAATAATTAGGATAGAGTGAGTTGTTAACTACAATAATGGAACAATAATAATGCATCATAGAATGCTGGAAATATGTGTGGTGTGTATGTTGCGATGTATTAGCTTTGAATGCCTTAATTGCAGACAAGAATGTGTTCACATCCTGGGTTGTTTTGTTTTAATCAATTGTTTTAACCATACGCTTAGGTTTAAAACAGTTTTTGTTTAAAACACTTAAATCAAACAAGCGTTCTTTTTCTTCATTTTCTTTATTAATAAATAAAAATAGGAAATGTTCTCGAATACATAATACAAAATTTTTAACATAAATATTATTTATTTATTAATAATAGGAACACAAAAAAAATTAGAAAACTTAAACATTTTGCATACAAGCATTAACAAATTCCCCACACTCTTCCAGTCTCAGTCATCTAAGTCATCAATTTGATATCTGATCAGTCACGTCATCACTGATGGAATTAAGCTCTCTAAAAGTTGATACCAACTTAGCAGCTTTGACATTGCTTAGCCGATTACGTAGTTTTGAATGGACTAAACCGTATGATGAGAAGAGTCTTTCTATGTTGTTTGACGATGCAATAGGTATATGAAGCTGTTGAGCAAGTTCCAAGGTTGTGGTATTCTTCATACACAGCACTAGTCCAGCCATAATTACTTTACATTTTTTACATTTAGCAGTCACTGATTTTTTGTTATTATCTCTAACAACATCAAAATAGTACCAAATGGCATCTTTCTTCCTTCCTGAAAACGACATTTTAAAAAAAACACCACAAAAAAACTTACAGTATTTATAAATAGTAGTCTGTGGTTCCCCCAGGTCAATAGTTCCTCATTGAAATTGGTTTTCTTATTTCGGGGATTCACCGGCAACGGCGGCGTGGCGCGACGTAGTTCGTAACAGCTGATCGCGACAGTTTAGTACAGAGTCGGACTTTAAATAAGGCATCTATTATTTAGTAGAATAATAGATAGAACGTTTTAAATTACTATTATGAAAAAATATGATTTAAACAATGTTTTTTTCTAAGTTTTATTTCTTTAAAGTATAAAATTTAAAAACAAAAAAATATGTTTTGTATAAAATAAAAAATACATGTTTTTTTCAACCCTGTATCACATCCAACCGATATAGATATGGGTGTGGTATAGAACTAAGATCGACGATTTTTCGACCGAAAAATCTGTTCGATTTAGCGTTGATAACTTGGCGGTTTTTGATTCGCTCCTAGACATATTTATGAGCAAATAGCTCGCCAAGTTAATGTAGTTGTGTCCAAGATTCATAAAAAAAATCCTTTAGGAAAGAACGAATCGTTCTCGATATACATTTCATAGTTTTAATAAAATGTAAGGTTTTGAAAACGTAAGAATCCATATAATTTAAAGAGCTTTTCTGATGTGTTTGTTATTACATTTCAAGTGTTGTTCTTTACCTGAAAAAAATACGCTTATAATTTCAATTAATCAATGCAAAAGTATGTCAAATAAGAGAATTCCGACGCATTATGTATAAATGTAAATATAATCATATCTTACTTAATACTAATAGAGATAGCACTTAAAAGTGCCTCATTGCATTATTGTAAAAAGAAAATGATACGAAAATATATAATATTCACCAGATGGATTAGTGTGTTTTATTTCAACCTTCCCCTGCAATTGCATGTATCAAACTGTTATAGACACCTCCGCTTATGATGCGTTAATAAATACTAACGATAAAGATCAGTTTACTTGTTGATGCATCGAAGTTATCTGCTTTGTTTAATGATAAGGTCCGCAGAAAGTGGGATAGAACTCGCTCGTCTTACCAAACTGCGCTGGTCTTAATTTAGTGCATTGATTCCCAAAGTGGTCTATATCGACCCCTAGGGGTCTATGACAACCTGCAAGGGGTCTACGTCAGCGAAAAAAAATTTGGGGGTCCATGAAATGAATATGGGGGTCCACGATAGTGGATCTCAACACATACACTGATAGTACCTATTTACTTACATCATACTATCTTATAATATCAAAACATATACATTATTTATAAAAGTACCTATGAAGAAAAAAATTATTATATATGTTTATAAAATTGTGTAAGTTGTAGGATGTTGGTATTCGCTTTGTGGTCGCAATACATTTTGAACTTGTAAAAACCTGAGAGTCGCAGTCTCAGAGCTTCGCTACCTTGCACTGACTTGTTCAATTCGTCACTCTATAAATACGAATGTGGGACAAATACGTTTAGTCGTTTCCTGAATCTTGAAAAGGAAAGTGCTAAGAAAATATTTTAAAAAATATAAACAGATAGTATATCACACAAATTATAGTGAGTCAGTGTTATTTTGTTTGAGAGTGCTGGAGAAAAGTAAGTACATTATTTTTTATTAAATTTTAGTTTTGTACTCGTAGTTAGCAAAGATAGATAAATTACGCCAATCATGACTCTAGTTATTAGTAGTTAAATATTCAATCATGCAAAATTACACGAGTACTCCTCAATAGTTTCTTTTTAAAAGTTTTAGCAATCGGTAATATAATTACAGTGCAATCTCCGTAATTCGAGCTAATTGTTCAAGATGTTCGAATTATGGAATGTTTTCGGAAAAATCAAAAAAAATTTTTAATATACAGCTACTGGATTTTCTGTCTTATTTAAATAATTTAATTTTGCCCACAGATGACTGATGCCATGTCCGAATCTAAAAAGAAATGTAGACAGTACAGTGTTGATTATTTGAAATTTGGCTTTATTCCATCATTGCCGGACAAACAATCGCCTATGTGCCATTAATGCAACAAAGTTTTGGGCAATGACGCTATGAAACCATCTAAACTGCAAGATCATCTGAGAAGCTGCCACCCTGATAAAACAGAGAAAGATTTCAAACACTCAAAGATAAATTTCAGAAGAGACCTACACTGCACAGAATGTTCGCTTCGACGTCACAAAGAAATGATGATGGTCTGCTGGCGTCTTACAATATCTCGTTACTTATAGCAAAATCCGGAAAACCGCATACTATCGGAGAGAAGTTAATTTTTCCAGCCGTTGAAGAGGTTTTAAAAACTGTTTTACACAAACCTGCATCTGATATCATTAAAAGAATTCCCTTAAGCAACAATACTGTTGAAAGACGTATTGATGAAATGAGTTCTGATATTGAAAGCTTCTTATGTAATTATTTGCAAACGACCCATTTCTCTATACAACTGGACAAGTCAACTTTACCTGATAATGCAGCATTATTATTGGCATATGTTCGGTTTATTATGAATCAAGAAATCTACGAAGAACTGCTCTTCGCAAGAACTTTGATAACCGACACTAAAGGTGAATCAATATTTCATGTTTTGAAGGATTACTTCATTGAAAAAGCAATTCCTTTATCAAATATAATATCAGTAGCTACAGATGGAGCACCTGCCATGGTTGGACGTTATCGTGGATTTATAAGCTATTTAAAACAAAATATGTCAGGGGTGTTAGCAATACGCGTCATCCATCGACAACATTTAGTTGCTAAAAATTTGAGTGTTAGATTGCACGAATCACTTCATTTAGTCATTGATGCAGTAAACCGAATCCGAAGCAACGCGTTGAATACGCGGTTATTTGCGCACTTGTGTGAAGAAAATGACGAACACTTTCATCAATTACTCCTCCACACTGAAGTACGCTGGCTGTCGAAAGGCTTATGTTTGACAAGATTTTTTGCACTTTTTGAGACTATTTTAGAATTTCTGGATACTAAAGATAAAATTTTAAAAGAAAATTTAATGAAGAGGAAAACAGACATCGCCTATTTAACAGATTTGTTTACAAAATTTAATATGGTTAATTTGCAATTACAAGGCGACAGTTTAAATTTGATTAAAACAAAGTCCATCTTATCAGCGTTTCTTGCCAGAGTTAAACTAATGAAGCAAAATATTGGACGGGGCGAATTTTCTCAGTTCCCCAATTTGCCACAGACAAGCTGCCAGGAAGACGACGTTTCAACTTACGTTCAACATTTAAATGCCCTCTATTCAGATTTTGAATCTAGGTTTTAGCATATTTTGACTATGGTAATACCACCGTGGATAATTAATCCATATGGTGACATAGAAGAAACGAATGTCATAATACAAGAGGAACTGACTGAACTAAGTACAAACGAAGAACTTAAGGTTCAGTTTAAAAACGGATATCAGCAATTCTGGCTGCAAAACAACATACCCGTTACTTATCCCGTATTATGGAATATAGCGAGGAAATTTTTAATTTCCTTTCCATCGTCATACCTAGTGGAAAGGGGGTTCAGCGCTGTTACCAATCTCCTAACGAAGGAGCCGAGGAGATTTAAGATTTATCCTTACAAAATTGACGCCAAATGTTGATAATTTATTATTAAAGCATTAGGTTCATCTATCTCACTAAAAATATTGACTTATTGCTTATGTTACTTTATTTATAGTTTATTTTATGTTTATTGGTGTCTGACCAATAAATGCGCGCATTGGGAATAAGTGCCCGCTTTGATTTTTTTAAAGAACCCCCCTGTATAGAACACACTAAAATTCGTTAATTTTTTGCCTATTTTTAGATAACTTAAACGTATAAGAAGCGGAATTTGATCAAACTAACAGTGAAATTATTGTAGAACATACGTTTATGTTATAATTAATAAACAAACTCGCTTATTGTACTATTTTAAGTAAAAAACTTTTTTTTAATTATTTTTCACTTTTTTTTTATTTTATCCCTCTTATTTTTTTTTCAATGCGGGCACTTATTCCCAATGCGGGCACTTATTGGTCAGACACCTGTTTATTTAATGTTACGTATATTTTACATAACAGATACAAAATCTTATTTTGAGTAGTTTTAATTTAAATTCAATTAATAAATGTATAAATTAACATGTGTTTTTACTTTAAGTTGTTAACACCAAACTTCACTACAGTTAGAAATTTACAGGAAATCAATATCAGGTAAGTAGGGGGTCTACCCAACACGGAAAAACATGGCAAGGGGTCTACGACACAAAAAAGTTTGGGGAACTCTGATTTAGTGCGACACCGAGATTGTGTCGCAAAGTACGCCGAAGAAAAGTAATTGGAATGTTTTGGTCTATAACAAAACGAATGGCAAAAAATTTGTCAAATACATTTTGCGATTCAGGATATGCATTCTTAGATTCATCTTTAAAAACATTTTGTATTAGCATAACTTGGCATTTTTCGTAGTGCTTTTCGACATATCTATCAGCTCGCCGTGTTGTACAGTTGTGTCTAAAATTCATAAAACATCTGTAATCGGAAAATTTCCCTCAGGGAAGAAGCTCTACTCTGATGACAATTCATAGTTTTAAGAAATGAAAGGGCTTTGATAACATAAGAATCCATACAGGGATTCCGCAAAGTTGGGGTTTTCCTTTACACGACGTGTAGATCTTGAAAACATAAGCAATTTTTCTTAGTACCATATACACCAATCTCTTAAGGGAACCGAGATAAAGGGCTCTGCAACATCAAAAATATCTGAATACCGCCCTGTAGCCGCGACATCCCCGAATGGTACTAGGACACTAGCTCAACCCGACGACAGAACTGGGTCGGGGTCAGTGTGTCAGGTCAGTATGCAACCTTCAACCGACGGTTACGGTCACGCGTGTAGAGGTAATCGCGTAGACGAGAATCCCTCAACAAGCACTAGAGACGTGGCTAGAGAAGTGCAAGTATCAAAAGCTGAAGTGTGGCAAACGCTGCGTGAAGAGGGGCTGTATCCGTTTCACGTCCAACGTGTTCAAGCCCTTCAACCTGACGATTTTCCAACAAGAGTGCGGTTTTGTGAGTGGTTGTTGCATCAACATGACAATAATCCGGAATTTTTGAAGTGCATATTGGTGACAGACGAATCTACGTTCACGCGTAATGGGGTGAATAACTTTCGCAACACTCATGTTTGGTCAGTAGAAAATCCGCACGCTGTCCGTCGGGCACATTTTCAACAAACATTATCGGTGAATGTTTGGGATGGCATGGTGAACGGTATGCTCATTGGACCATTTATTCTCCCAAATCGATTGGACGGGATGCAATACCTAGACTTTTTACGCAACATTTTGCCTTCCTTGTTTGCCTGCGTCTGCTCGGTAGCGCATCAGCTGATTTCATTTTCTGTTGGAGCGGTATGATTTCGGGCAGAGACGTACTTAGCCCTTCTCGTCAACTGGAGAGTGAGTACTTTTTCCTTTATTTTTTTACTTGGTCGCCCTCGTTTCACTACACATTACCTTTGTTATTTCAAGGGTAGTTGTTTCTGAAAAGGAAAACCCCAACTTTGCGGACACCCTGTATAATTTAAAGAACTTTTCTAAACTGTTTGTTATTACATTTCAAGTGTTGCTCTTTATCTGATAAAATACTGTTACGCTTATAATTTCAACTAATCAATGCAAATGCAAAAATATGTAAAATAAGGTAATTCAGACGCATTGTTTACTGTTATGTATACTGAATGACAAAAAGATTCACATATCGGTTTATCTTGCCATGAACAAGTGATAAAATGGTCAGGTTTTTGTGGGAGCTGCGTGTATTGTTTGGTGATGAAGAAGCATTCAGTTTTCTTTACGGTGTCAGTTAAATGTTTGTACATCGGCGTAACTGTTTGCTCTGGTGTAGAGAATTATATGGGACCGGCATGGGTATCATGTAAAAAACCTATAAAACGTCAAAAAAAAACATTTAAGACGTCATCTTGCAAACTAGGGCGCAAACAGTCATTCCACGTTCGCTCACTAGGATCGTTGTAAACGTCGATCTAAGGAGGAATCACTCAACTAAACTACGCGCATTATTGGTTGCATATGTTTTGTGAGGCCAAATGATCTGTAGTTTTTATCTCTGAGAAGAAAGTTGGTTGAATAGCAAGATCGCATCTGGATGATTTATGTGTATTGGTCTTTTTACTGTCATTTCTTCCACCCCAATGTTTTGTCAAAGTCTCGTTCAGAGGACGTGTGCGCTATTCAATAACTGAGACGTACAGGGTGCAAACGTTATGATAGTCATTATTTAAATGGGTGATAGAGGGGACATTTTAGATTACATTATAAAAATTAGTAAGATGGTGGTCGATATAAAGCACTAAATCTATTGACTTTTGACATATGAACTTTTTGACTTGTTTTGATCCCCCCCTTATTACCCATTTCCATAATGACTACCATAACGTTTACACCCTGTATTTAACGGCACTAAATCTGGTGTCATCGAACTTTACCTTGATGAAGCTGTAAGGTTATTGATAATTATTTACTTATTCATTGTCATTATTATCTATGTATTTGTTTACTCTGCTTTATTGATATTTCCTACAATTGGGTGTATCTGCCTGTTGGAAATAAACATTATTGTTATTTGAAATCACGAAGACTAAGTACAAAATAAGTTATACACTTTCATGAGAGTGGTACAAAAGTTTCACTTCAAAAAATAAATTCATTGTTTTATGTTACAAAGTTCAAACAAAGTGCATATACCAGCGGTATAATCCAATATGTTCGAGTTACATTACTATACATGCTAGATACGTATTAATATACTAAGTGACATATAAATCCGAACACCCAGTTTAAATGGTTTTATTTTAATAAAAGCTCGTGAATGTATTTATCTTACTGTAAATAACAAGTGAAAAAATTGTCAGCCTTATCAGTTGGACATTCCAGTTTTTATACTGCTTTTTTTAATTCACTAACGCTCTAAAAATGAATATTTCAGCCGCAGTAAAGAATCAACGTTGGCGGATTTTGGTTCTTGACATCCTTTACGATCGGTTACGATGCCTAGAGTACGGAGACCTGTACGATTTCGTCAACTTAGTGAGTTTGATAGGGGCCGTATAGTGGGACTTCGGGAAGCTGGACTTTCTTTTCGGGCAATTGCAGTTAGAGTGCAAAGAAGTGTAGACACTGTGGTTAGGTGTTGTCAGGCAAGGCTTCGAGAAGGCCGAACGCAAAAAGCAAGGGGCACTCGACGCCGCCGTAGAACAACAGACCGTGAAGATCGCCGCCTAAGATTATTGGCCTTAAGGGACCGTTTCTCCACTACCAGGTCCATTGCAAATGAATGGTTTGCAGAAAACGGAAGACCTATTAGCATGCGAAGTGTTTACCGACGAATGAGAAGTTTTGGCTTGTTTTCATACCGGCCACACTGGGTCCTCCCTTTAACTCGAGAACACCGACGTAATCGCCTTGAGTGGTGCAGACAACGGTCACTCTGGGATCAGGAATGGAACAGTATTGTCTTTAGTAACGAGTCTCGATTTTGTTTAGGCATGCACGATGGTCGTGCCAGGGTTAGAAGGCGACGTGGTGAAAGGAGGAATCCACAGTTTTTTGTTGAAAGACATGTTCATCACACTGTTGGAGTTATGGTTTGGGGTGCTATAGCTTATGGTTCCAGGTCACCTTTAATCTTCATCAGAGGTAACATGAACGCGCAGCGTTATATCCACGGCGTTCTAGAACCCCATCTTTTACCCTATCTTGACACCCTTGCAGATCCAACTTTCCAACAAGATAATGCCCGACCACATGTTGCAAGAGTCACAATAGACTTCTTTCAACATAATGATGTCACATTGTTACCATGGCCACCAAGATCTCCCGACTTATCCCCAATTGAGCACGTGTGGGATATGATGGGTAGGAGATTGCTCAATTTGCAACGTCCTCTTCAGACTCTAGAAGCACTTCGAGAGGAGTTGGTGGTTGCCTGGAATGAGATACCACAGGAGGACATTGACCACCTGATCAGAAGCATGCCTAGGCGCGTTGGAGAATGCGTAGCACATCAGGGTGCATCCACACATTATTAAAGGTCAAAGGGCAATCATTTTGAAATTTTTATCATTTACTTATTATGCTTCATTAAGAACTTATACAAAATTTTATTAAAATAAAACCATTTAAACTGGGTGTTCGTATTTATATGTCACTTAGTATATTTTAGTCCAATGGAATCGACGCCAACGACGATCTTCAGTCCATCATTTTTTAAGCCGTATGCAATCAGTTACACAAAGACAAAACTTTGAACTTTGCGTTGTATTAACACCGCGTTCTAATGATGACCTTAAACTACAACATTGTTACACTAACTATCCATATGTTGCAGATATTTATTTTTCTGTTATCTGGCATGCATCGCTAATGCAAATGATACTGAATACTAACGTAGTTCGCTCACTGAACAGTTAAACAAGTTTTTTTTACAGAATATACCCGTCTCCACGTCTGCAAGGCAACTTGGTAAATACACAGTACCGCCAGCTTTGGCGATCAGGTAGTTACTGTAGTAATCTAACAAAAGCTATCTGTCTAGAGTGGCTGTCCTTGAACATGAATCTGATTTCTGGCAAGGTTATTACGTAAAAAACCTATACAGGGAAAACCAAATTTGTCTGAAGGCTTGAGTTCAATGTGTACGAGAGAGAAGTGTGTATCAACACTTGTTAGAAAAAGATAGAAGCCGGATGAAGAGCGAAGGTCATTATCACATTGCCTAGCAACGGTGACGTAGAAGGTCGCGTTGCCGTGTTACACCAGAAAATGTTCGCACAGACTGCTACTGCCAAACCCAAGGAGGACCGTTCGAACATTCAATTTATTAATTTGTTTTCATTTTGAATAGATTTATTTCAGTTTTGATGCGATTTAGGCCCGTATCGTCAGTCGTCCCTACAATTGTAGGGCGCGTTTATGGCCTCCTTGATTGTCATCCTCCTTTATCTCCTTCAAAAATTTCTAGATTACACTTGTCCCGTGTCAGCGTCAGTGCTCTCCTATTGTGAAGATATGTTTTCTTTTTAAATTGTAGGAAATTTCAGGCTGATAAAACATGATATAACTCAAAAGCAAGCCCAATTTGATGCAAATAGATGTTTGTGACATAACCTCAAAATAGAGCTCTGACACGGAGAAGTAGAAAACTATGACAATCAAGGAGGCCATAAAGGCGCCCTACAATTGTAGGGACGACTGACGATACGGGCCTAAGACTTACCTTTGAATTCCACCGATGGTGATAAAATGAACACATCCTGAGTTATTGTTACATTTTGCGACGGCACTGTGGTCGGAATAAAAGTTACCACCTTCGCAACCGTCGATAACAAACTACTTTATGCCAGATCCTTTAGAGATATTATTCGCCGATTGATAAATTATGCATCAGAATTCTAGATTAACACTCTTCACATCGAACAGCTTGTGATAGCAGAAGCTCCAAGAAAAAGGTTTCTATGGACGATTTATTTTCAAATAATTTATTGATCAAGAAAGAATAACATCGAGACATTTATCCTTACGCGAAAAACTTTTGTAAAAAAATATTTTTTACGCCATTGAATGGGTAAATAGAAGAAACAATAAAAATCACTGATATTCTAAACGGGTTCCGACATAACACTACAACAATCAACATAGTTATATGGAAGAAACCGTTAGTAGCCTTCAGGAATACGAATAGTTTTTTGTACCTGAGATTTATTAATTCCAGATTTGTATATTGACTATTAGACCTGTCGTCCAGGAATTGCGGTTTCATCCGAATCAGAAACATGAGAAACCATGTCAAAATGTGAGAATGACAGAATCGAGAGATAGAATCAGATTTATAGACCTTGCTTAAGACTTGAGGCTTGCTTGAATCTCTCCTTGGAAACAATGACGGTTCCTTGAGGGAGGATTCAAAATTTACTTACAATTTAATATACATAAAAGTTTATTTACATCTTGGTGATAAAATTGGGAAGATTTGATTTATTTGTGCTGAATAGCAATAAGCAATGCAAAATAACACAATAATGTGTTGCTTCCTCGAATTACAGCACAAGCGCGGAGAAGAAAAAAACTGAATATAGGCAACCCGTTACGCCGAACTGCTTTGCTGGTTGCAGATTACGTCTGCCAAATTCAAATATTTCACAAAAAATAACATTTTCTATCCAATTCTCTGTGATCGAGCTATAATTCGAGGAAACATAAATTATTATTTTGCATTGTTTATTAATTATCTCATCAGAATGCTAAATAGATACGACATCGATGGCAGCTGATACAGTCCACTGTGAAATGAGAATTTAAATCCTCCCTTGGAAGCGTCATTGTTTCAGTTTCCAAGGAAGCCTCAAGAAAGGTCTATAAATCTGACACATAGCCGCCGATTTCGGACTTATCTGACAAATATTTGAAATGGCGTTGATAGTGCAGCTAGAGTATCCTGACGAGATATATTTAGTTCTTGAAAGAAATAGATATGAGTAATAGAAATTATCACTGTTATCAAAAATGTCATAACAGACTAAATTTTTAATATCGCCAAATTAAAATGCGTTTTCGTCCGATTTCCGGCGAACATATTTCAGATGAAAATGCATTCACTAGACGACTGGCCTTATTGCGTATATGCTATCACATAATCTTAAAAATCATCGTGTAGAACCGCAAATATTTCCAGCATTATTGTACGCGAAATGTCATCTTTTGGCAAAATTAAAGGATAGAAGATATGTATATAATATGGGAAAGTAAGACAAAAATATGGTGATTTAAATGAATATGTCGCAGTTTATTTCTCGCGATTTTCAAAAAATTGTATAAGATGGCCAAAAACAGTGTTTCGGTCTTATTTCCCAAACTGAGCTAGTTATTTCAAAAAGGTTAAATTGTGGTAATTTACAAATTACTTATGTCTAGTTGATAAACAAATGTACGTCGATGATGCTTGGTAATACCAAAGAGTAGTTATACCAAGAGAAGACAGACAAGGCAAATAAATTAAATAGAAATAGGAGATGCAACCAAAAATATGGCGGCCTCAAAACAGCTAACGGCGTATAAACACGCGCTGTACTTATTTTTGGATAAATTCATTGACCATTTGTTGTGAACAAATCTTTTGTTCAAATAATTTTATTTATTTATTAGCATCCGTCTGCTGCCTACGAAATATATATCTCCGCGATACTCTCAAAACTTATAAGTTATCACAAAGCTACTTAAATTTTAGGGCCCTACGCGGAATATTGCACGATTTAGTTTAGTAACAAAAGAGGAATGTCAAATTGAAGTACAAATTTTTGTAACCTCAAATTGTTTATTTGACCAATCGTCGGTGTTATTTGACATCACTTGCAAAAACCATGAAAACAACTGAACTTCCATTCAGTTCAGTGTGAATCTCGCGTTTTCTAAACATTTTATGTCAGTTTGGCAACACCGCTCGGTAATTGCATAGCAGAGCGTATCTTTGACAGAATGTTTTGAGCCATCTATCAAACTTCAGCATCAAAATATAACGACTATATATATAACTACTCTTTGGTAATACTGTAGACCTCAGAAAGTAAAACATAAGGGTATTTTCAAATTTCGAACACTATGTTACAAAAAACGTTTCTTTATAAAAAAAGGATCCCGTTTCCATCATACTGTAGCAAACCTACGGAAGTCACGTCTGAAATTATTTACAAAGAGTTAGTGTCACCATATAATTTACGTGCATACCAAAATGTTGACAGATATGGGAAAGTTCATGAAAGTATAAAAAATAGGTATCACGGATGTTATTTTTTTATTTTCCCATCTTTTCTTCAAGTTTGCTCACAAAAAAAAACCTACAGGATGTTCAAGATGAGGACGGGATACCACTGGATCTCGGAAGTAGATATGGTCAAATTGAAAATGATCCATATTTAACGAAAAACTGTTTTTGAACATTTGTAATCATCATTTTTTTAAAAACCGCGGAAATAAACTAGTGCATTTGAAGCACCATATGTTTATCCATAGTCATTTTCCGTCCTTCAATTTTGGCAGGTGAAAACTTAGAGTATTGGTTTTTCAAAAATATCTATATTGAAGTTTAAACATTAAATAGTACTTACATGGTAGACTTTATACACTTGCAGTGTCAATTAATTAAAAAGAGAGATAAGTTTTAAGCTCGGTACACGAGAGACAAGTAGATGTTCCGTCCAAAAACTGATCTCTCTCAAACAGTAGCAAACTTGACTAGATCAGAAAATTACGAAATGAAAAGCAATTTGAATAAAATACTGATCAATATTTTTTACAGTTTATTATCATTCATCAATTATTTTGAATATTTAAGTTTGTAGTGAAATTAAATACAAAAGTTGGCTTACTGTGTTTTTTTATACAAAACTATATAGTAATGAGGTAGTAATAAATTACCTTCACAGATGTCACAAGCTTGGCATAATTCAAGTCTAGAAATCCACTTTTCAGTTATACAATGGTACGTTGTTTATAATTCTGTTTGATTACTCTAAATACAACTTATTATGTAAATCTGTAACAATTTTTAAGAGTTATCACATATGGTAATGTCCAAATCTAAATATACTTCGAAACATTAGTAATGAGTGGCATTTCATAATATCAGAAAATGAACGTGAATATCATTTAGTCGAAATCTGCATTCCGGAAAAATCCACTGTATATATGCAACAATTTTTATTATGTGTTCCATAGTGAAAATAGAATTGCAGTATTTCATATAGATTTTTTCAAATGAAGATATATCTTACCAACAATAAAGATGTAGTTCAAACTAATTTTTTAATTATTGCTCTATATTAAACTATTATGACAACATAACAAATCAATCATATCTCCTGGCATGACATCTTCAAACCTACCACAGACAAGTACATCACAAATCTGAATACTTTTTGGTGCCATTTCACCAAATCAATAAAAAATATCTATGTTACATAAATACAACTGAACATACAATCTTCCTAACGAATTATTCTGGTTTGTTCCCTAGTACATACTTATTGATCATCGTGTACATTAAGCCTAAGGTAAGAGATCCTACAGCTGCCCCTTGGGCTCCGACCCTGAGGTGCATCAGATACACACTTGTGCTCATTTTTCCTCTGTTCTTGTACGCGTATGCCCCATACGCTACTGCCGCCGTACATACTCCAATAGCTGCACAGAAAAGATATTTTATTTAATTATATTCCAAAATAAATGTTTACAGACATATAGAGTGTTTCTTTAATGACTGTTGATGTTTAAGGGGCAGATTTTTGGGCCTGTTCTAAGAAGAATGCATGTCTCAAATGACTTTACTTTTGAGGTTCAGGACTGTAATATTTTCAAAAATATTATTATTAATATACAGGGTGGCCGTACGGAAAGGTAGCACTCCATTTGTGACGCTCCTGGTATATTTTGGGAAAAAACGTTCGGAAACGTCAATTTTGATTTCTCTTTTCATGTATAGCCGCACAATACAGGGTGATCCAAAAATAAGATATTGCGTTACATTTTAGATTTTTAAATGGATACCTTTTTAATATTTAGTTTTTAGAAACTTTTATATGATAAAGTTTATACCTATCTTCAATCATTGTGAGCTATTTGAGTTTATAATAAAATTCGACTAAATTCATACTGATAATAATGGAATCTACGGCAAAAAATAATAAACATGGATACCAGCAAAAACATTTAGCATCACTCAGTGTTATCACATGTCACAAAAAAACTTTGTCTTTCATTTCAAATTGATAAGTTACCTACCTAGTTGTGATAAATATTGACCAATAATAATTTTGGATGCTAAAAAACGAAATCTTGTAACACGTGATAATTATCGTGTACGACTTTTATCACCGATTTCATACTCGCCCTGGTAATTACATGCACTAAGTAAACATATGTCACAATTCACACGTATATTTACCCTTAACAGTTAGAAATATATACGATACTCGCGTCACAAAATATGAGATAAAATTAAAATAAGGTAACTACTGCCACATCACAATTCTTATCACAATCTTGCTGTTGCTTGCAGGGAGGCTTTGGGGTCAAGCCACCACCCAGAATTCCAATACATTTTTCTTTATTATAATACAGATGTAATCCCCCAGGGTGAATCTAGCCCCCCATATATTTTTCCTTAAGACAGAATGATTGACCTTTAGATGCTGCTATCAAATGCATATATTTCACGTGAAACTGGAAAAGTCAGAGAATAAAGTTTATTTTCCTCACACTTGATAGAATCCTAAGATTCACAGCAGAAGTAATGACATTCAACATACAGTAAAGCCTATTTCACGCTTCGACATCTACTGAGGTGAACAGCTGATCAGCAAGTGATATTTTTGTGTTAGTCTGCAACGTTGGCAATAATGGATCAGGTATACATCTATTAAAACTTGTTTGTGGTGTTTTGTTTTTTGTATGCAAAAAACTTTTCTAAATAAAAGAGCCGTTAGGAAGTGCAGAATGAATCTGTAGCGTACAAAAAACCAAAACAAAATTCTGCTCTGTCTACTTGGCGTTGACGGATCCCTCAGAATTATGTGTTCTGTGCCGATATGGGGAATTTTGAGATGTTACTAAATAATCAGCTGTCATTTTACCCTGATGGATACTCGTGAAATAGGGTATATATGAAACATCTTATTGTCACATGAAATTTTTGGTATGAAGACCATTTTTGAACTTCCGATTTTTTTAGGCAAAAATAGATATTTTGTCAAAAAAAGTTTTTGAATAATCAGTATCCAGTGGCACTGAGTAAGAGCCAAGATATTTACATTCATTTTCAATAAATAATACTTATTACTTCTATATGAAGTAAGTACGTACTTTGACTGAAAACAATTACTATTATGGGTTTATTAAAACCAACGACTTTATCAAAGATTATTGCCTCATTGTGATACAAAGTATTTGAGTACTAGTACAATATTATATATGTCCCATCTTTACCATATGGGCATAAACGGCATGTGGGTAGGGCTCAAGAAATCAAATGCCAAGAACTTTTTTCCTCTTATACAATGGCCTCCAGCTGCAACCGATAATTTTGTTCTAGGCTAGCACCACTTGTGTCATTGCTTAGTCCTGTCACAAGATTTTGTGCCAAAAGGCTCCTGACGAATTTAAGACAGCACTGAATGTTATAACATAACTCAGACTCTAGTCTAATTTGCTTATCTGGAGCCTCTTGAGAGTTTATTACAAATTTACATACCTATAGGAAATATTGGTGTCTCCTTTGACTTCCTAGCTAACCTTTCAGATGAGGATTCCTGCTCATAGAACATTTTGGTTTCAGACATACTGGTTGCTAAAATATGATATTAATTAGGATTTTTCCTCCAATTATCCATGCATGTGAAGCACAAGATTACATCATAATATAGAAACAAAAAAGGCAAATGAAATTAACACTTACATACGGACATGCTGCTGTTATATGAAATATCTACGCTTCTACGCACTAAACAAAAATTAAAATGAAAGGAAAATTCGAAAAAGCCAAATGAAAATCGTGAACCTAACCTATTTTTATCACAAGTTTGACGTCTGTGCGGTATGGTCAAGTCTAAATTGCTAACGTTGAAAACGCGTGATTCAACCTTTACCCACTTGACCTTCAATCTCGTGATTCGTGACGTCATCAAGGAGTCCCCGTAAGCGACGTTGCCAGATTTCCTTACTGTAATTCAACATCTCGAGTAGATTGGAAAAAACCACCAAAACCGTAGTGGAATATTCCTGTAGCATCCAAACGGTCCATGAAATTGTTTATGTACTACTGGGCAGTATTCTTACGCAAACATTAAAAACTGATCATAAAAATGAGACCAATTTTCTATAAAAAACTGCGTGCCTACAGAATGGAACGTAAACTACATATTATTATGGAATGGTCTCAGTCATTTCTCAAAACGTTTCAAACCCATTCCGACTGTGTTTGAGCAAATGGCTCAAATGTAACCCCTTAGCCGCACTTTTTGAAGGAAAGAGATTTCAAGACTCATTGGAAAAAATTGCTTGGATATAGAACTTTTCGTCAATCAGTGGTTGTTTGGTCGGCCATTGACGAAAAGTTTTAACAACTACAGTTAACACACGATGCTGAGTAAGGTATATGACGAGAAAAAGACAGAGGTACCAAGAATAGGTTTTATTTCGGTTTGCCGAGTATTCGACTTGGGTCGAATATTGAAATCCGGAATTCGAATACGAATACTGAATGCCGTAATTCTAAATTGTATTTGTATACAAAAAAAAAATTATTTGAATACCGCTGTTTTGAATACCTGGATTCATTTAAACATGAATACTTTTTGAATATTCCAACAACAAAAAAACATGCGTATACAGGGTGTTTCAGTTTATTGTTGCATAACTTTAAGATTCGATAGAACTTTTAAAATTAATGCATAAAGTCTATATAAACATGGGTCGAAAAATGCGTGGTTTCTGAAATACAGGGTGTTTAAATTTACTTTTTAAAATAGTTTTTTTTAAATATTTCGAACAATATTTGATGTATAACAGTGAAAATTGGTATACAATGGTTTTTTGGTACGACAAAACGAACCATGGGCATAGTTTTACTGTATCCGCTAGAGGGCGCTCTCTACTGTACCTTTAGTGTATTAAAATGACCGAAAATTTTTTCTTAGTGCAATTTTTTGCTTTTTGAATAAAAAAAATGATTCTTTGCACTTTTTTGCATAAAAAAGCTCTCCTGTGAGTGTTCGTTATAGTTAGCCGTCGTACCAAAAAACCCTTGTATACCAATTTTCACTGTTATACATCAAATATTGTTCTAAATATTTAAAAAAAAAATATTTTAGAAAGTAAATTTAAACACCCTGTATTTCGGAAGCCACGCATTTTTCGATCCATGTTTATATAGACTTTATGCATTAATTTTAAAAGTTCTATCGAATCTTAAAGTAATGCAACAATAAACTGAAACACCCTGTATATGATTGATAGTTCGACCGTCTACTAGTGTAATATAAACTCTTTGTCATTAAAAATGATTTTCTATTTTTTAGTTTGGTTAGCTATAAAAGCGTGTTTTTTTAAACTATTATTTATTACTTGTGTACTTAAGTGATAAACATATATAAAAAATTAAAAATACATGACAATATTAAATCAATAACAGTGTCACAGTGAGGTTAGATTAATTAGTTGTATAATTTATCAGATTTTTAGAGAGAATTAATGAAATAAAACTTGCAGTACTGCATAGGCATACTAAATCTAATCTCGTTTCTTAAACGCCCTGTCTAATTGAGAACCAGCACCACCTACACAAGCAAAATTACTGTCCCTAGCTATTTTGTACGTACCATCCAGAACAACCGAGAACGTGTTTTGACACGTTCAAGTTGCGTAAAGCGTAACTCAACATTCGAAAAAATAGCCTAAGAGTATTCGAATACCGGGATTTGAATACAAAGTGGGTATTCGAATATACGGATTCAGAAACAATATGAATACAAAGTGGGTATTCGAATATTCGGATTCAGCACACAAATGTATTCTGAATAGCATTTAAAATACCGAGTATTCGAATACTACTGAAGTCACTGTAGTCGCTTTTAATATTGTTAAACACAAAGAACAAATTCATGATTCGATCATTTAATATGTATTACACATTTTATAAAAATACAAAACATAAATTAAAATTACTGGACTTCACCACAAGCTGAAATGATGACTTTCTCGGTGGGCTTGCCAGTCTTCGTCCCGCACCTTTCTATCCTCTTCACAACGTCCATTCCACTGATCACATGCCCGAACACTACATGCTTCCCGTCCAACCAATCCGTCTTTGCAGTGCATATGAAGAACTGGGATCCATTGGTGTTATGTCCTGAATTGGCCATCGACAGGGTACCCGGCGCGACGTGTTTCAACTGGAAGTTCTCGTCTGCAAATTTTCTGCCGTAAATAGACTTCCCTCCAGTGCCGTTGTGGTTTGTGAAGTCGCCTCCTTGAAGCATGAAATCGGGAATAATTCTGTGGAAGGTGCTTCCCTGGTAACCGTAGCCTATAAGAAGCAGTAAATTTCACATATCTCCTGATAATTCATATTATTATTTATATAGACTAAATAAAATATATAGTCGAAATCACGAAAGATGACGATTACGTCATCATTTTACTCTGTAGTAAAGACAAACGACAGCGATTTGTGAATATTTTTAAAGAAGTTTCAAACATATCAGACAGAGACAAACAGATTTTTATTGTCTAAACAAACTGAATTGCTAATTTGCATGCATCCGACAAAGATAGACGATGTTTTCATGTTGCATGATCGATCACATTTGAAATATGAAGAGTTAGGTTATGTTAAAACAGGTTAGGTTGTTTTCGAATAATACTTTGGTGTTAATGTCTTAAGGTGTATTCTACTCATAACTGTTCTTTCAAAACAAAAATTCCCCACTAAAATTATTATTAAGGTATCACTTAAAACCATGAAATAAAATGAAAATAAAAATAATCAGTGAAATAACCTAACTTTGCAAAATCATAATATAAGTTCATGACATCGTGATTTTATCATCGACGTACGTCCATTGATTACTTCAGTACAATTTATGGTATGACGTAATAGTCATCTTTCGTGATTTTGACTATAGGAAACAATCTCAAAGGAAGTCACGCCGATTACTGAAGCAAAACAAAACGTCATGTCAAACAGAGCGGAAACAACGCGAAAAACCAGCTGATCTGTAGCAACAAACACATGATTTGCAGGCTCCCTTTCATTGGTTGAAACTCCGTCAAGTCTAGCGTAGCAGCATTGTGGAAATCCTGTTTATAAATAGTTTAACGTCAGAGTTTATAAATCGACCTTAAATCCTTGGCAACCAAGATAGGCAAACTTGCCATTTTTTAACAAATTGGAATCTTGTGTTGTATTTTGGTGCGAAAATTACCTTAGCTACACTTGTCAGGACTTCTGATTTACCACAATTGTCTCTAAATTCTGAAGAGAGTACCGCACAGACATCCACGATGAACAACGCAGCAGGAGTCCGTCCATCACCGAGAAAGTTGTTTCGAGGATTGAGCAAGTCTTGCTCGAAGATCGGCGACTCACCACCCGGAATCTGGCGGTTGAAAATCCTGAAGCTTCTAAAAAAGCTGAGACGGGCAATAATTCAAAATCGCCTTGGGGAAAACTCAACAAAACGTAAGGATGCGCCACAGCAACGCACGTCCTCATGTCTCCCAACAAACGAAAGACTTAATCGAACGATTTAGCAGGGAAGTCATTGCCTTACAGCGCTGACATAGCATTTTCGAAATTGAAGGACGAGACCTCCTTAAGGCGGGAGTATAGATATAGAAAAAAATGGCAACTATGGAGAAAAATAGTTTACACATCAACGTTTCCAATGGTGAATTCGTTTTTCAAATAAAAAATTCTAGCACTATCAGAAGTGTTAGAAATACAATGAAATAGTTATCTCTGTCTTGCTAGATAACATACCTTTCTCATGAGTACATAAACACCTGAAATTCTCTGCTGTCCTAGGTACAACATCAGCTCTTAACATCATTGTGATTCTTCCTATTTCAGTCTTCCCAATTTTGACGTCAAAGTACACTTGAGGATTCTTCACTTTCTTAACTTCCGGTTTGACTGTCGACTCAGTTTCAGGTTCTTGCTCATTCTGTACTGTAACTTCTTCTGCTTTTTTGCCTAAATATTTTAAATTGGTCAGTCAGTATACAGCATGTTACCATTGATACTAAACACTCCATGCTCACCTATTGTCTCACCGGCGTGTTGTTGCAACCAAGTGTCTTCAGACCACACAGGCCTCGTAGACCCCTCTTTGATCTTTTGTGGTTTAGCTAGGTTGACTCTTATTGTCCTGCCGAATAATTCTGAATCGTTCATGTTATCTATAGCGGCCGCGGCATCTTCAGCATTCTCAAACTCAAGAAATGCAAATCCTCGATGTTTTTCAGACTCGTAATCCAATGGAATTTGAACATCGATTATGTCTCCGAACGGAATGAATGCTGCATTCAGAATTTTTTCGTCCACTTCCTCTGCTAGTCCACCCACGTAAATCGTTCTTTTATTACTCGAACTCATTTGAATTTTTATTCAGAAAAATTATAGCTTTCCGGTGTTGGTTAAGAGGTTATGTTTTGATTTGTTGTTTTGACAGTCATGTGACAGATGACAGCGTTACTGAATACAATGTAGCCACATTGGGTGATTTATTGTCAAAAATATAGAACCGTATGTATACAACGTTCGACACCCCATAATTGGCAAGTGTGTCTCCTACACGATGGGATGAACTTTTTAGTCTCGGACGTTCGACGCATGATAGAGCCAATGTCTATTATCGGTGTCAGTGTCGCGCTTGAGCCTTTACAACAATCCGTCAGTGTCCACTCGATGTGGCGAATGGCCATGTGTCCAACGTTTTAAGGCATTTGCCACATCGTGTGGGACCGATTTTAAAACACATGTATTCAAACAAGACACTATGACTGTTGGTTTGCCAAGCAGGCGTTTTTAGATTTTTGCAAGAGCTTGCGAATGCTGCTTAAAAAATGGGGAGGCTATCACACAAACTGGCAACATAGCTTAGGACATGTACGCGACAGTGACAGACCCTGTCAAGTCTGACATTGCTGTCATTTTAATTTGCGAATGTTGATGTGGTTGGGTTGTAATTTAAATATTTAATAATCAAATTAGAATACTATAAACTCTAATAATCATGTTAAAAACTGTGAAAGCGATATCAACAAATTTGGTAAGACTTAGAACTGTTAATCTAACGTGCTTTTATTATAGGCATATGTAAATTTTATATTATATAACCTTTTTATTACCCTTTTACAGAGAAGAGTTGTTACGACTAGAGCCCTACAGACGTCTGCATCGTTACAACATGATAGTCTGTTCGTCCACAGAGACACGCCGGAAGACAACCCGGATATCAAGTTCGAATTTACCCCAGAAAATAAAAAGGTATGTCAAAGTTGTTTCTATTTTTTTAGCAATTTGGTGCAGTGTCATATTTAAAACGACCCACCACTATGCAAACTATAATTCCTCATTGTATCAAAGTTTAAATGTAAAAGGTTAAACTAATTGTTTGTGATGTTATTCAATTGATCATTATTAAAATTACACTAGCAAGCACAAACATATCAACAAAGAAAAAAATATAGAAACATCACTGAAATATGTAGTTCATAGAAAGAAGATTCTATAAAAAATACATACATGGACTATTTAATTATAAAAAGAAACAATACATAACGAAATAAAATCTAGCAGTTAAGAAGAGAGAGATTAAACAGTGAAAATACATAATAACAGGCAGGATAATAAAACTAAAAATAGATAAAGAATTGATAACAAAATAAAAAAATAAATAAGCCCTCTTAACAATGAGATTTTCCAAAACTTCGAATTTAAAATTTATATGTATATAATAGTGACAATAATAAAGCATGTAAATGCATAAAGAAAACATTAGATCATTTTTTGGTTATATTTTATAGGGTTTCTTTCATTTTTTCTTAAATAACAGTTTAATGAATTATATAATTTAATTGCATTGTAAATATATGTGTTCTAAAATATAGAGGGATTGAAAAATTCTCATAATATCTAATATTACTGCACTACTACTATTCCTGTAGGTGTGAATTTGCTTGTAAGTCTGACTTAGGAGCTGGTATTTATACATTTTATCTATTTTCTGAGATCATTTATGATCCTGTAACATGTATTCACAATACTTTGAACACAATTTTTTGTTATAATATCCAAATAGGGATAGTAAACAATGATTATTGAAAATAAGAAGGATTTACACACAGTTGCTTTCCAACAGATGTATAATACAGGTATAGCCTTATTTGCAGATAAAACTCTGCACCGCCATAAAATTAGATAGTTGACATGTCCATCAAATTTTTGATCATTCTCCATTAGAATACCTACATTCTTAGAATCTGACACAGGAACTATTTTATGACCTTTTATGTATTTAAACCTTATCTTTATTTTAGAGAGCTGAGGCTATCATGGCTATCTATCCAGAAGGTCATAAAAGAGCTGCAATGATACCTTTATTGGATCTTGCGCAAAGGCAATATGGTTGGTTACCAATTTCTGCAATGCACCATGTTGCAGATATTTTAAACTTGCCCAAAATGAGAGTTTATGAAGTAGCTACGTTCTATACAATGTTCATGAGGTAACTACTCGTGCATCATTTGTATTAGAAATTTTCAAGTTGGCAAAGTGCTCCTGAAAGTATATTTTCTTAATTCCAATATTGGTGACATTTTTTGGTACAGAATAATGACCATAACATTGCGAGGTGAAAAATTATTGGAAGCATCGAAGATATAAAGAGGTTTTTATTGAGAAAATCCTACAATTACAGTAATTTTTTTTTTTTGGTGGTTTCATGGGATTATTGCTTCTTAATGCTAAATTCAAATTGGCTAGAATATTTGCGGCCATGATCTGAAATCTCAGAAATTATAGATCCTATTTAAAAAAGTAATAAGGACAATTTTCTTGGGAGTCAAATACTTCATCATTTTGCTTCTCTGAAAATTTGCTATATGGTCAACATATTACCAACCTTTTACATTTAGCGTTAAGTGTCAGCAATATATATTTTTCATTAGGAAACCAACCGGGAAGTACCATGTCCAAGTATGTACTACAACCCCCTGTTGGTTAAGAGGGTCAGATGAAATTTTGGAGGCGTGTAAAAAGAGCTTAGGCATCGAAGTTGGTGAAACTAGCAAAGATATGATGTGGACATTGTCTGAGGTTGAATGTCTAGGAGCGTGTGTGAATGCACCGATGGTTCAGATCAATGATGATTATTATGTAAGTATGTCCGGAAATTGAAGAGTAAACCTGCCACTGGAAATAGACTGCATTATGACATTTTGTTTAGTCAGATTTGCCTGTTATCAATATATATTATTTTCTCTTTAGGAGGATTTAACTGTTAAAGACACTGAAGAAATCTTATCAGATTTAAAATCTGATAAAAAGCCTGCACCTGGACCTAGGTAAGTAAGATATTTTAGACACTGTATAGACATGAGTTTCATTAAAAAAAGCACTCAAATTGTTTCAACCATTCGTGAGCTTTTGCGTGGTGAGTTGAAAATCATACAGAAAAATGGATCTAAAATTTGGCAGACTTGGCCAAATTTTGAACAAAGCCTACTATTACAAATCAATCTGTCACCCCATTCAAATCATTCAGTTTTAATCTTGCGAACCGATTTTCATCAAACAAATAACCATTTCCACAGACGAACTTTCTGTCAAAAAGAACTGCACCCAAATGGGTTTGTATCCAGCTATATAGACACGCTGATACAAACATACAGACTCATGATAAATTTATAAATCCCTTCTTTTTTGCATCATGGGTTGAAAATTTGAAACTTTATATTGTAAAATGTTCTATATTTGAGTCAGTCTTGTGCAAATGTTTTTATAGCAAGCATAAAACTCGTCATCATTTTCCAGGAGTGGTAGATATGCTGCAGAGCCTATTGGTGAACCTACAAGTTTGAAAGGAGATCCACCTGGTCCTGGATTTGGAGTGAGATCAGATTTGTAAATGTTTATTTAAATTGTAATATATTATTTAAAAACTTTCCCAGAGATTTGCTTATTTCAAATAATAGTTGCTCAACCAATCAAGTTGAGTTATAGACAAGAGTCATATCAGAACGATTCTAAGAGATGGAGTTACAAAATGATTGTCTGGTCACTTTAGGTCTATTTAAGCAAAAATAAAGCGGTAGGCAAGGCGGTAACACCCGTTAGCTTTTCCGCAGGGCGTCTGTTTCCACACCTTACCTTCGCAGTCGGTTTTCTTACTTCTCCCTTCACAACAAAGAAATTGACGATGAAGGATCCCTCGAGTACTAAGAATTGCGAACGTAAACAACGCGGGTTTTCCCCAGGGATCGGTCTTGGTTATACAGGGTGTTTGGTGCATCGTTTGCCAAATTGAAATGACCGACAGGGGAGGTCTTTTTCTATCACCCCAGGTCTCTCAAACTTGTGGAACACCGTTAGAATCGGGATAAACTAGAGTAGTTTTTAAAAGAATTCTAAGAACGTAAACGCTTTTAGTTTTTTTTTTACACAAATTCAAAATTGAGACTTACATTTTTTTGTTCTTTGTAACCCTTTGTGAGTTTATAAATAAAAAACTACATGCTGCTGGCAAGTAATGTTGATTTTGTAAGATTAGTACATCACCCATTAAGATAAATTAATCATTAGGTGGACATACTCTTTATTTTTTTTATTTCACTTTGTGTATTACATTTTGGAGTTTTTACTAAAAAAAATTAAAGAATCTACGTTGGGCTATAAACTGTTTGAGGGACCTGGGGTGATAGAAAAAGACCTCCTCTGCCCGCCATTTCAATTTGGCAAACGATGCACCAAACACCCTGTATAACAACGACATACTTTCGTCAAATGACGTCATTATTCGCTCACTTTTGGTCGGAAACGTCATTGACTGAAACATGACGTCTTTATTGACGACCTTTTATTCTCGTAAATAACAAATCTATTAGAAACTCCTCTGTGTAACAATAATGTAGTAAAAAACACAAGAGTAATTATTTTTAGCAAACTGAAGGTAAAATTCGAAATACAGCAGACGCTCGATAACGTAAACACGGGATAATGAAAACCTGCGCTAATGTAAACACAAACTTCGTTCTATAGGATCAAACGGAACGCGCGATAACGTAAACAATGTGTACCGTCGATAACGTAAACAACTCTCGGCGCACGGAAACAGCGCGACGGTAAAATGCTGAAGCCTCGATGATTTATGTCGGGCGTCGGGGAGTCCCCGATTTATGATGTAGAGTGTAGGGGATTCACCTCTGCGATAAAATACGGCAAACTCGGTCAGTCGTATGATCGTTTAGGATACGTACGTATGTATTTCATTTTTGAACTTAAGTGAATACATTGCACGCGTTAATATATTTTACGACTATGGCATCCAAATCCTATAAAAGAAAGTGAAAATCATAGACGAAGTTGCACTAGGTGCGGGAGTGACACAGTTAGCAAAAAAATATGGAGGATCGAAAGCAACAATCTGTAAAATTAAGCGTATGAAAACTCAAATTTTACAAAGAACGTGCAATACATTTTGAGGTCCGGGAAAAAGAAAAACTTTAAAAAATGCGAAGGCACCTAAAATGGAAAATTCCCTGTATAAGTGACTGTTAAATGAAAAACTGAAAATTTCGTAGCTAGTGATGGCTGGCTACAACGATTCAAAACATCATATGGAATTCGTCTGCTGTCTATATCTGGTGAAAAATTATCAGCACAACCACAATTAGTGCAACCATTCAAAGAAAAATTGATGAAAACAATCACCAAGCTAGATTTAAGAATGGAACAAATTTACAACGCAGATAAAAGTGGCCTTTATTGGAAAATGTTACCAGAGAAAACCTATGCTGCATCATTTGAAAAATCTGCCCCGGGAAGAAAGCCGGAGAAACAACGAATAACGTTTCTAGCCTGCACTAGTGCTAATGGTTCACACAAAATAAAGCCACTGGTAATTGGGAAAGTAAAAAATCCGCGCTGATTTAAAAATGTTAATATCCCTGTTGATTAAGACTGCTCAAAAACCGCTTGGATGACTAGCAGTATATTCCTGAAATGGTTCCACAGGTGCTTTGTCCCTCAGGTATGACAATCAATTATCACAAATGCTCTATTCATAATTTGAAGATGTGTTTTCAATTTGTAGGTAAAATGTTTCCTAAAACAACAGGAGCTTCCAATAAAAGCGTTGTTACTATTGGATAATGCACCAAGACATCCTCCCGAGCAACAACTGAGGAGCAGGGATGGGTCAATTTTTGTCATGTACATGCCGCCGCCCAACGTAACACCGTTAATTCAACCGATGGACCAGAATATAATAAGACTCACCAAACTATACTATAGGAAGTTTCTACTTTCGTCTGTCTTATCAAAGAATCCTGAAAACTTATCTGAGGCTTTAAAAAAAGTAACATTACGAGAAGCTGTTTTAGATTTACATATGGCCTGGAATGAACTTAACCAGCAAACTATTCAAAAATGTTGGAACCATCTCTTTTGTACCAATAATGATGAAAAAGACGATGTCCCCTTAAGCGTAATTAGAGAACGTTTGCGATCCAATAATGATAATGTTATTAGTGTGTCATTGGATGTTGTTGATTTATTGAAAACAGTGAATCCCAACATTGTTTGTACTCCTGCTGATATTAATTTATGGAACGAAGATAAGCAGACGAATGATGCTGATAAGGAGGATATGGACAGTGAGGATGATGAGAACGATCCCATTGAACTCAGAAGTGTAGTGACTGACGCGCAAGCTATACAAGTTTTTAACCAAGCTTTAGATTGGGCTGAAAGAAAAGAAGTTTCATACACGGATATTTTAGTTCTTCGTAAATTACGGGCGCAGGCATTGGAAGACAATGCTAAGCGCAAATTTACGTAGACAAAAATTGTTAATTATTTTTCTTCTAATAAAAAAAATACTTATCGCTGTTAGAATATTTGTTTATTTTGTTATAAATAGTATGTATTAAACGTTTCTTTCAATAAATCAAATATTATATAAAGCACGTTCGCTAATGTAAACATTTCGATAATGTGAACCACATTTGGATTAAATTGGTTTACATTATCGAGCGTCTGCTGTATTGCGTTTCTAAAAAAAAAACAGTGTCGTACTATTTACTACTATTTATACTTAAACTCTGGGCGCTGAAGAAAGACATTAAACGTAAACAGTGATCAGCACGTGAACAGATCCCTCGGAAGCATCCACGGATATACTCCAGTCACTTTAGGTCTAAACATCCTCGGCAGTGTATTTCTAGTGAATTCACAGACCCTTTTTCGTGTCATCTTGAGACTAGAAAAAGGATGACTGTTAAAATAAGTTACCTTGATCTTTCATGAGCTCCCAGTACAAAACATCATCGATATATTTTTGATGTAGGAACAACAAATTGGTTTAGAAAACATCCACTTTGAACCTAAATTGACTGGAGTAACATCGATCTACAGACAAATTCAAGGTCACTAGCAGTCGTCGGCGCTCTACGAATCTGCACAGGTTTGGACTTGTAAACGTGATTGTAGATGACACGACAGGCATCTAACAGTTAATTCACGCACAGGATTGCATTGCATACGCATTACGCATTCAGTAGCGTATACTCGTTTTTCGCGAGTGGAACGTTTTGTTTATATATTAGCTAAGATACGATGTCTGACACAGATACAGCCGACGAAGTGGTTGACATCAGCGCAACCCCACCCAAAAAAAGGGCTAAGAAGCTACATTTAAGTGCAAATGAAAAACAAATAATATTAAATATATACAAAAACCAAATTCAAGAAAAACCCGATTTGGTCGTGGACGAAGTTATATGTAAGGTAGCACATATTTCTGGAGTATGTCGGTCCAGTGTTTATAGGATCATTAAGGAATATAGGAGCACTCACTCACTTTCTGAGCCAAAACCGTATCCTGCAAGAAAAAGGATAACGGACGGAGTAGATGACTTTGACAGAACTGCCATCAGAAGGAAAGTGCATAATTTTTTCTTCCGAAATGAGATACCTACAGTAGATAAGATATTAAGATTAGTTAATGCTGATGAGGATCTTCCATCATTTAAAAGAACCACATTCCGAAAACTTTTGAAGGAACTTTATTTTCGATTCTTGAAACGGGGAAGAAACAGTATGTTAATAGAGAAAGAAGAAATTGTTGTGTGGAGAAGGGAATACCTTAGGAAGATTCGGAAGTTTCGCGATGAAAAAAGAAAAATTTACTATTTGGACGAAACGTGGGTGAATGCTGGACATACTCAAGCGAAAGTTTGGGTCGACAAATCAGTAACATCATCAAGGCAGGCTTTTCTAGACGGTATTTCGGCTGGATTGAAAAATCCTGCAGATAAGCTCCTTCATCTATCCGGCAATTTAATTTTGATAAATTCGGGCAAATAATATGCTGTGATAGCAGATAATGTGTGATATTCTCCAAAAATGGTGCATTCGCAGTGTAGTCATTAGGAAAAAAACTTCGACCCTCTTTTAAGCGTTATTTTGAAATTTATTATCATTTTTGGGTGCAGTCAATTTGCTTTGAATGGGTTTTGAGAAGTTGCAAACTTCAATTTTCTAAGTTTTTCAGTTTTTGATCAGCATTCCGTGACTCTTAAATTCAGCTAAATGAACTCAATTGCCTCATTCCTTCAAATTTAATCAATCCATAGTGTAAGGAATAATTTATTTCCAGGAAAAGGCAAACGGCTGATCATTTGTCACGTAGGTAGTGAAGACGGCTTTGTTCCCGAAGCACTGTGGGCCTTTGAATCAAAAAAGACAGGGGACTATCATGAGGAGATGGACGGCAATTCCTTTGAAAATTGGTTCTCCAAAATGTTACTAAAGCTGGAGCATAACGCTGTTATTGTACTGGATAATGCCCCGTACCATTCTAGAAAAATAGAAAAAATTCCCACAATGGCAACTAAAAAAGCAAACATACAACAATGGCTGGCCTCAAAACAGATCGATTTTGATGAAACAATGGTCAAGGGTGAATTGATAAGTATAGTCAATAGACATAAATACAAATACGATTTTAAAATGATCGACGAAATGGCCAAAAAACAAAATAAAACTGTCTTGAGACTGCCACCCTACCATTCTGAGCTGAACCCTGAACCCTTGAGCTGATTTGGGCCAACATAAAGCAATACGTGGCGTCGAATAATAATACTTATAAATTTTCTGATGTTAAAAATCTCTTTCACATCGCAGTCAATAGAGTTACGGCAGAGGAATGGAAAAACTGTATCCGCCACGTTCGGGAGAAGGTTGAGGTCAAAATGTTGGATTTGGACAATGTCATCGATACCCAAATTGAACCTCTAATAATTCATCTAAACGATTCAGAAGATTCAAGTTCCTCGTCTGAATGAGTGCGCGCAGTTTACTTACTAATAACTAAAAAGTGTAGTTAACTCATTTGTGAATCTCTAACTGAAATTTACTGTAAAAGATAATAATTATCTTGTATGAAATTTTTGATGACTACCCATAATATCTTGATGCGGTCCTGTAATGTCTCCTGCGCCTAAACACTCACGAGCAATATGCGTGTATTTGTTTGGGTTTAGTTTCTTTCTTCAGCGCCTAGAGTATAGGTAAATCCACATACATTTCAGTTCGTTCCAGTTGACGATTTTGAGGATATTAAAAAATGATTAACACCCTGAACCTTTTTAAGGTAGCCGTCGAGAAAAATGTTATGCGGTCCTGTTCCTGTGTAGATGTTTTATTTTTGGTCACGACTTGTGAATCACCCTGTACGTGGTGTGTTGTACTAGATGACCCCTGTGCTGTCGTATTTTTGTAGAAACGGGGTTTGTTTGTATTACGAGGCATGGAGTATGAAAATAATACGACTGCTACTTTTGCGATTTTAATAAAAGCAGTCAAATGGAATACAGCACAGTAAATAATATTCTTTAAAAACGTTATTGCTTAAATACACAAATACATATAGTAATTCTGATACGACGATAAAACCACAACCAAAACCGTTTATATAGCAGCAATAAGTTTGCAAGCTCATACATAGATGGAATTATTTTACAAATGCACCTAGAAGAGTGAAATCGATTTTTTTATCTAATTTCATTACAAATCTTGGAAGTACATACGACCTAGAATTTCCTATAAAATGCGTATAAAATTACGTCTACAAATAAAAGAATAAATGCTGATAATACGTGATTTTTTTATTAAATACACTTAAAAAATTGTAAATGACTAAGCAGTTCTGCCTAACCTTTGTTTTCCACTATCTCAGTGGTTAGTGTCTTGTTAGGAGTAACTCTGGTCTTGAATTGCTCGGCAATGGGGATTTCCGTATAATCTCCATCACCTTTAGGGATCATCACATTCATTTCAGAAGACTTTGAACTGATGATCTCGACATCCAACGAATCGTTATTCAAATAGATTTGGCAACCATCAGTTTTATCGATGGAAACCGTCGGTACTTTACCGAGCACCTGCATTTGCACGGATTGGCAATTGATGAATTCGATAGAAGAAACAAGAGAATCGAACACAATGGAAGTCTTTTTACACGAGTCCAAAGTGACAGAATTAAGTTTGCCTTTGACAGTTATCGTGGAATTTTCACATTTGTACATGTAAACTACATTGTTCATTTCGGCGTTGTCCACAACGAGGTTGTGGTTTTCTTTCTGGTACTCGATCATCCATTTTTTCCCGTCTTTGGTGAAACTGGCAGGCTTCTCGACCTTGGTAGGCTTCACGATGGAGGTTGCCTTTACAGTGGCGGCTTTGAAAGGAGCAGGGCCTGAAATCGGTTATATTGTGATCTTGAGAATGCAATTCACGATGATTCCAGATACTGTGGGGGTAAAATGGTCAGTTTTGCTGATAATTCGACAATACTATGCAGGGATCTCAAAAACTGTGGGAGACACACATCTAGGTTAAGTTAGGAAAAACCGTATTTTATTTTTTTGGGCGTATACTAAGTGACATATAAATCCGAACACCCAGTTTAAATGGTTTTATTTTAATAAAATTTTGTATAAGTACTTAATGAAGCATAATAAGTAAATGATAAAAATTTCAAAATGATTGCACTGCTTTAAAGCCCTTTGACCTTTAATAATGTGTGGATGCACCCTGATGTGCTACGCATTCTCCAAGGCGCCTAGGCATGCTTCTGATCAGGTGGTCAATGTCCTCCTGTGGTATCTCATTCCAGGCAACCACCAACTCCTCTCGAAGTGCTTCTAGAGTCTGAGGAGGACGTTGCAAATTGAGCAATCTCCTACCCATCATATCCCACACGTGCTCAATTGGAGATAAGTCGGGAGAGCTTGGTGGCCATGGTAACAATGTGACATCATTATGTTGAAAGAAGTCTATTGTGACTCTTGCAACATGTGGTCGGGCATTATCTTGTTGGAAAGTTGGATCTGCCAGGGTGTCAAGTTAGGGTAAAAGATGGGGTTCTAGAACTTCGTGGATATAACGCTGCGCGTTCATGTTACCTCTGATGAAGATTAAAGGTGACCTGGAACCATAAGCTATAGCACCCCAAACTATAACTCCAACAGTGTGATGAACATGTCTTTCAACAAAAAACTGTGGATTCCTCCTTTCTCCACGTCGCCTTCTAACCCTGGCACGACCATCGTGCATGCCTAAACAAAATCGAGACTCGTCACTAAAGACAATACTGTTCCATTCCTGATCCCAGAGTGACCGTTGTCTGCACCACTCAAGGCGATTACGTCGGTGTTCTCGAGTTAAAGGGAGGACCCAGTGTGGCCGGTATGAAAACAAGCCAAAACTTCTCATTCGTCGGTAAACACTTCGCATGCCAATAGGTCTTCCGTGTTCTGCAAACCATTCATTTGCAATGGACCTGGTAGTGGAGAAACGGTCCCTTAAGGCCAATAATCTTAGGCGGCGATCTTCACGGTCTGTTGTTCTATGGCGGCGTCCAGTGCCCCTTGCTCTTTGCGTACGGCCTTCTCGAAGCCATGCCTGACAACACCTAACCACAGTGTCTACACTTCTTTGCACTCTAACTGCAATTGCTCGAAAAGAAAGTCCAGCTTCCCGAAGTCCCACTATACGGCCCCTATCAAACTCACTAAGTTGACGAAATCGTACAGGTCTCCGTACTCTAGGCATCGTAACCGATCGTAAAGGATGTCAAGAACCAAAATCCGCCAACGTTGATTCTTTACTGCGGCTGAAATATTCATTTTTAGAGCGTTAGTGAATTAAAAAAAAGCAGTATAAAAACCGGAATGTCCAACTGATAAGGCTGAAAAATTGTTCACTTGTTATTTACAGTAAGATAAATACATTCACCAACTTTTATTAAAATAAAACCATTTAAACTGGGTGTTCGGATTTATATGTCACTTAGTATATTTACATGCAGTTGAGAAACTTGCAAAGGATTGCGCTTGACTTTATCTTGTCTCATACTGCACTTGTAGTCTACTAACCTTGTCTCAAAGTAGGATTCTTGTGAGTCTGCATATCGTCCGTGACCTTCTTAAGGCCCTTGGTGATATCCTGACCCTTGTTGATCTCCGCGAATAGCGCGGATCGGTCAACGGCGCCGTCACCTGCCCCGCCGATGTTGAAGTCGATTACCGGGGGTGGGGGTGGAGGGCATCCGGGGGGCGGCGGTGGAATCGACCCTTTTGCTACACCTTTTCCTGTGCAAAATGATAAATGTCGTCAATAACGCAGATTTTATTATATATAGAGCAATCTGTCGACCAGAGGCGATCGAATATGTACGCTCCTCGGAAGTTAATTCCGAGCCATGGATGTTGTGTTGTGTGTTGCCTATATCACGCACCAGATCGGTGCAAGATTAACGACCGGGGACTATTCAAGTATTAAGGAAGCAGAGCTTTTACAATTATTAACCCCCTTCCCCCTTTTCAGCCGTATCGTCAGTCGTTCCTGCAATATTGTATGGCCTCCTTTATTTTCTTTGTTTTTGACTGCTCCGTGTGAGCGCTCTGTTTTAAGGTTATGTTACAAAAGTCTATTTGCATCAAATTGTTCATGCTTCATCATCTGTTATATCAGCCTACAACTCAAAAAGAAAACATAGCCTCACAATACGAGATCGCTGACGCTGACACGGAACAGTATAAATCTAGAAATACCCCAGCCCTTCTGAAGGAGAGAAATGACTATGAAAATCAAGGGCGACCACAAAGGCGTCCTACAATTGTAGAAACGACTGACGATTCGACCCTAAGCAAGTCTCTTACCCCCTTTTTATGCTTGCATGAACATTTTGTCATGTTTTAAAATTTGAAGCAAGTATTGGCTTTCATGCTCATGTTCTCAATACCATTAAGACTCATATTGTTCCTTGAGGCTTCCTTGGAAACTACAGATCTCTCCTTGGAGATAGTGAAACATCGACGCTTCCTTGAGGGACGATTTAAATTTTCATTTTACATATGCTTGTCTTCACAAGCTGTCATCGATCTCAGAAAGATTTTTATTTGCTGGCTGTATCTATTTAGGATTTTGATGATGAAAATTGGGCTTTGTCACCACGATTTATATTGCACATTACCCACAAGCTGTATCAAAATACTGATAAGAGTAATAAAAAAGATCCTATCATTATATCACACAAATATTTTTAAACTCAAAGATTTCTGTATAATCAATATTTATTTAATTTACAAAAGAAACAATCAGTACTTGCATTATACAGTAAATATCTCAGTAATGTATATCTAAGAGTAATCAACTCAATAATAGTCATTAGCAAAAATAGAAAACTTACCCATACATAACATATCAAAAGAAATTTGCACTGAACTGATATGATTTTGATAATCATCCATGTCTGACAATTTGTTGTGGGATAGTAACCAGGAACATTTTGTTTAATTTATAATTATTTACACTTGGTTACCTATTTTTGATAGCAGGAAATATTTACATACATGAGTTGATCTAGCCTTCATCAATGAAAACAGCCAATAAAAAGCTTTTTTTTGTTACAGATTTCATGTAATACCTATTACATAATCAATCCAGGTATTGTAAAAATTTGATGTTTTGTTTAAAACATTTTTTTTTTCTTTGGTAACAACTTTTAAATAAAAATAGAATAAATAAGATAGCATGATTATACAAAAAGATTGCGAGGCCTTTTCAATATGTCAGGTGGTCAGTAGGAATAAATGTTAAGAGAATTTAGTAAAAAGTATTCATGCATTACATGAACTATATTGGAAGAAAGTTAATTAGCGATGTATTCAATTTTATTGTTTTAAATTGTAGAATATCTAATTAGACAGCATATGAGACACCAATGCAGAGTTTAGAGAATTATGTGTTATATACAGTAATGGACTAAAGTATATAGACAAATTAATATTGTGCTGTATTTCTTTTTTAACTTGTTTCATTAATACACCAACCTGTATATACATAATTCATTATAGCATAATACTCACTTATACATAAATTAATTCATTAGACCCCCTTCAATAAAAAATTAATTGAAACAAACTGGAACTATTCAGGACAAAAATATATAGACAAAGCAAATCAATTATAGAAAAAAGAAGTAAAGTTCATTGAATTATAGAAAACCAACCATGTTTGTGTTAATATTTTGTAGCATTATCATTATCAAGCACTGCATCGTCTCGGCATAGATTGTAGAAGTTTCTTGATATAAGATTCATCAATCTGTGTCCACTTTTGCTCTAAAGCTTATCTAAGTATTCCCATAGATTTTGAATAGGGTTTATATCAGAAGACTGTGAAGGCCATTTGAGAACTGGTATTTTTTCATCCAGAAAGAATTTCTTTGCGAGATTTGAAGTGTGCTTCAGGTCATTATCTTGCTGGAAGATTGATCTTAAGGACATATTGTCTTCTATATTGGGTAACATGACATGCTTTAGTATGTCTGTGTATACAAACTTATCCATATTGCCATCCATTCTATGTAAAGGTCCCATCCCAAACCTCCAAAAAGCACCCCCAAACCATAATAGACCTGCCTCCATGTTTCACAGTGAGCAAAGTGTACTTGGGGTTCAATCTTTGTCCACTAGGATGTCTAACGTAATGAACACCATCTGATCCAAACATGTTCAAATCATTTTATCTTCTAGTTATAGTTTTCGTAGAAACACTGACAATTCCTTTTGTCTCGAATTCCGCTTTTATTTGTCTTGGAGGTTTAAACAGATCTTTGGACGAAATTACTTTTATCAATCTATCTGATCTAACATTTAGTTTCCTAGGCCAACTACTTCTCTTAGAGGCCTCCAAGATACCTTTTTGTTTATATTTGTTCAATATTGCTCAAACTGCTTTATGCTTCAGCTTCAAATTTTTGGCAATGTCGACTTGATGTTGACCATCTTTGTATAACTCAATGATCTTAGTTTTCACATCAACAGAAATTTCTGGACCACATGGCATGGTCTTAAAACCACTCAACTTATTCCACGATTCTTGATGAACACAAACTAATCCTCTTCTGACACGAAACTGTACTAAACTAATGTTGAAAAGAATTTGTCTACAAATTTTTGTCCCTTATATTCAGACTTGTATTGCAGATAATGTAAAAACAAGGAATTTAGTTTTTCTACTAATAACGCATTTGTTTATGGAGCAATGAAGTATGAATTCGTTTTCTAAAGGTATTTAGGTTAATATTCATATTTGTCTATATAATTTTGTCCATTACTGTACATATATCTGTAATACTTATTTTTGTAATATATCATATTAAAAAAAAAACCTATAAAATTGAAAATGCTGCTTCTTCATACCACAATTAGTTCCAATGAAGCCAATATTTGGTTGTGATTGCTCATACATACCTATACCTGATAGCTAATTAAAACTTCCTATTTTATACACAAATATTTCATCACTAATAATTTGATCTATGACATTTACTTGGCAATCAGGTGTTATTGTGAGATTTAAATCAGAAAGCAGGTCATACAAAAAATTATCTATCTTACCTGACCAAACCAATCCAGTAGTATGGTGTTGTTTGATATACGCCTGTAATTCGCTCAATGTTTGAATCCATGCCTTCACCCAGTCTACATGCACCTTATCTTTTTCTTTCCATTCCTTCAATACCCTATTCGTATAAAATTGCCCAGCATCATTCATTTCCTTAACATAGGGACCTGGTGTTGGAGTTATTGTGACCCAACCCAAAGCTGAAATACTTTCGCTGATAGCAGATAAGTGATTGAAGAACGGCGACGATCGATGTTTCTCCCGATAATTTTGAATTGCAGTTATCTTGTCGCTGGTAGGCCTCAGCAGGTTGACGATTTCGCTCTGTGGGGGTTGGGCCGATTCACTGGCCAATTTGAGGTAATCCAACTGAGCCTTAAACGCGTCTTGGACCAACTTTGCGTGCTCTGCTACATCTCCTCCGATCTTCTGGGATAATTTGAGATACGCCGCCAAGGGGCCGCCGGTGATATCTTGAAATCCGGTCACGCTCATGATGCTCCTGTTTCAGGGCGTTTCTTTAAACTCGCGTATAATCGCTGAACGGGCAGTTCGGTACTTGAATATCCACGGGCGTTCAATACTACTCGATAAAAAGCCGATATGTCAACGTATGATTCAATTGTATGACTAATAAAATAATGAAGTTGTTTATATACGGTGACGTTTCATGGATTTGAGGTTAATGCCGTCGACCTCAACCTCAAAAATCGATTTCTCCTTTTTACGATTTTCTACCTAAACGTCAACGTCAGCCGCAAAACTACACACTTATCCAGCGTTGCCAAATCAAAATGAATATTTGAAAGCAAAAAAATTCATCTTGGGACCTTGAAAATACAGAAAATACTGTATTATAAGACTAAAAACAAAAACATGCTATACTAATTATTATAATTGATGCGATAAGTCATTAAGTCCCGTACTTATATAACAGGATAAGAGTTACACATAGCAACATTGCAATGGCGCATCTACTTAAGACTGTCAGTGATAGTTTTAATTATAAAGTCCCTAAGCTCTCATAACATCAGGGACGGAATGAGCAAATTTTACTTATGCAAGTAAAATAGTCGCTGACTAATAAGCGAGCTCTTCTTAGGCCAGTAACCGTATTACGTAACCAAAAAATGAGACATAATATCGATTTTTACATTATGTAGGTTTCTTTTGATATTATGTATTTTTCCCTATAAAATGTCGCCTTATTTATAAAATAAGGTCAGGGCTTACAATTCTATAGCAATGTAGATTGTGTGAATAACAATAATTAACCAGTATTTGCATCACGTTTATATTCGCTATTGCGTAGCTGAAAGAAATGATGCTTATCGCGAAACGCGCTGATCGGCTGGCGCGTGTCTTGTGACGTCAGCACACAGCAACACGTACTAGCAAAATTACTCTGCAAATACCAAACTTCTTGATAACATAGCTTTTTTATTTTATGACATATATTCGAAATTCTTCTACAAGAGAGGTTACTGTCAAACCCACCAAGGAGGTCTCTTCGAACATTTAATTTAGTAGTTTGTTTTCATTTTGATCAGATTTATTTATTTCAATTTTGAAGCGACCTAGTGTTTTATTTTAGAATTATCTTTGATATCCACCGATGGTGATAAAATCAACACATCCTGAGTTATTGTTACATTTTGCGATACAAATTATCACAGGTGAAACTCATTCCGAAACAAGACGACTCTCCCCAATGAGCGCTAGGTGGGTACTGACCATAACCGCTCATCTATGATCATGGAGGTGGAAACTTTGTCTTGGAATTTCGAGATGCGGAGTTACCAGTGATGCAATATTGCAGATTTTGTGGCGGACCTGACCTTTCATGTCGATCTAATATGGAGCGCCGTTAGGATTGATCGGCACGGGTATCACGCCGTATATCGAAAAGTGACATTGTGCCGATTTTTTTTTGACATTATGTAGGTTTTTCTACAGGATGTTAACTTACCACTTAGCTGTGCGTGTTGCCTAAACGTCAAGAGGCTTGTTATCAATCTTTGGCTCTGATGTGATGTAAAATCTGCTTCTGAGATGGCATTTCTGGAGGTCTAAGCTGTAAGTTGTATGTGTTGATTATAATTACATTGGGTTCTTATCTCAAATACACTTAATTGAGATTCAAAGCTAGAAATTAGTTGAGCATCCACTTTTTCTTATCCATTCTGGAAATTACATATACAAATTTGCTGAATTTCAAAAATGAGAGAGATAAGAAATAATTATATTCACTATACAGTGTCGAATTACAAGCCATATACATGCTAACAGTAATTACACACAACGCCGGCGCGTTGATGATTTCCCGTAATTCTCCTCAGTTTTTCGTGATTTATAACTTGAACATAACCTCTCTTCAGAAAGCACAACATATAAATAACCCTTTATATTCGGCATATTCCGTAATGATTTTCTCACACAGCAAATAGCACTGATTTTATACACATGCAGACCAATACACATAATCATCCAGATGCGATCTTGCTATTCAACCAACTTTCTTCTCAGAGATAAAAACTACAGACCCAGATCACTCAACCTCACAAAACTATGCAACCAATAATGCGTAGTTTAGTTGAGTGATTCCTCCATAGATGGACGTTCACAACGATCCTTGTGAGCAAACGTTTGCGCCCTAAAAGCTACCTAGTCTGCAAGCTGACATATTATAGTTTTTTTTGACGTTTTATAGGTTTTTTACATGATACCCGTGCCGGAGTCGATCCTAAACAGATTCGACACATACTATTAAAAAATGTTTACGCTCAAATTACAAAGATTATTTGGGCGCAGATAATAAAGTAACGCGTATTTTCAGCATGCATCTCAATTCAAGGAATTGGTGTAACATTTTGGCAACGCGGTAATGAGCCTTGCTATCCAGCTGGCTTCAATTTCTTTCTAACATATGTATCTATGCACATTTCTCTCACGAAACAAAGCCGTCAGACAAATTTGGTTCTCAGTGTATATCTGGATGGTTAGTTCACAAATTAATCTCTATCCACTTAGCCCTAAATACGGTCCTGCCTACATCTAGCTCCTATTTTCACCCAGTGTTACCGGTGTCATGCCTCATGGTCATAGAACACATAGGACATAGAAACGATGGAAACATGGAAACTAGAAACAAACAAGTGAAAATTGTCAAATTTTATAAAATTCATTTTCGTTGCGAACAAAAATAACATATGTCAAGGAATACTGTTTAAATAAATAGAAACCTACTCGAGTAGCTAGTTTAATTCTTTTCTTACGAACACTCGTCAGTATTTTTCCGGTATTATAGATTTATACAGAAAAAAAAGTACAGTTCAATACCAAAAGAGATCGTTTTGGTCGTGTGCTTGTGGGGCGCGTGAGCATGCGCTCAATAATCAGCATAATATATCGGTACTTCAAGTTATGTCCGATGTGTCGTCAAAATCCGTATATTTGTTAAAATATCGCCGACAATAAACATCCAAGTGCCGTTCGTAGCCTGTTGGCGTGATACCGTTTGCATGACGACGACGAGGATGCTAATGAACAGCCCGAAAAGTAGGAGATAACACATTTTTGGAACAAACAATACGGTAGGTGAGCGGTCCAAGCGGGATTTCTGTTCTTTCTGCACGTGTAGATTTTCCAGGCATGCCGGCGTCTACGTTAGATCCAGTGAAGGCGGCTCTTCGTACTCAACTCGCAAAAAATGACTCGATCGACAACAACCTCGACACCCAATTAGCGGGCTCGAGCAAGAAGGCGCTTCTTTCCAACATTGAGTTTGAGACTGCAGGAAGCTATCAAAGCACTATTCTAGATAAATTAAAATCAAAATACATCGTCCTCAACAGCTCTGATACCCCACAAGCCAGGTAAGACGTTCTTATTATCCATTTAGGTATTAACTGCCAACATTGATAATCTAGCCTAACTTTTTTTATCATCACACTTTTTCAAAACTACTGTTTAACATACACATTCAAAGTAGTCCAATGTTGCAGTGCTTTTATGGTGAATAGCAGTAGCCGAGGGATAATGTTGACAGTTCACAACGTTTGATCAGCAAATCTGACAGCCAATTAAAAACTGCTGTTAAACTGTCAAAGCTATTCAGCCTACGACTGCTAGACTGCTTTACATTATAGTCTAATCTTATTAGCAAATTCCTCTAAATAATTGTAATATCTGGTTTTATTGGTGCAAGTTGTTCGAAAGGAGTATGAACGCACAAAATGGGTAAATTAATTTTTGTGGGAAAACCTTTTAATCGACAACAAAGAATGAGAAAATGTGTTTTTTGGGACTCGATCGAAAGTGTTGATAGGAATGCAAACACTTTTCATATAACATTTTTAGGTATTTAAGAGATCTACAAAATGAGACCACATGTAAAAAGATCCTACTAATAGCAAAAATGTTATGGTTAAAATCCAATGGTAAATGCAGGTTTCGGCACTTGTTTGTAATGCGACAATAATTTCACGCAACCACTTGGAATTCTTCATAGGAGTCATACTTCTTAATAACTACAACAAATTTGGAGTAGATTGGTCAAGTAGTTTTTTTGATAATTTCTAATTGCTTATCCCAAAACACCTGTTTCCGGCCATCACTAGTTCATTCAAAGAACATTTAATAGCAAAATACACGTGTTTACCTTGCTGATATGAATCACAAATTTGTACCCATTTTATGCGTCCATGTTTTGAATACCCTCCTGAACAACTTGCAGCAAAAAAACCAGACTTTACAATTATTTTGCAAACCAGGGATATTTTCATCTAATATGATCAGACTATAATGCTTTGTTGATGATATTATGAAACAAATGACTGATGATCTCAAGCCCAACTTTAGAAACTCTTTTGTTAACCCAGATATGGTACACCGTACACTTGCAACGACCTGTGCTTATTTTGACGGGGTAATAGCAGTATTCAGTAAGCCTTAGTAAATCGCAACGTGCGGTTGGGTGTTATCGTTGTATTGAGATTTTTTTGCGATTTTGTGAAGTTTTTATTTTTTGTGACATGGCTGAATATGGAATACGATTTGCCAAGTAAGTAAATATATGGTCTTTACGTAAATAAAAAAAATGTTCTGATTGCTTCTACCAATAAAACACACATGCTTTTTTCCAGTTATAATGCCAAATTACTTATGTTATTTTATTGGAACACTAATATTGAGTGGTTATGTCAATGTACCATGCAGAAGAATGTTCTGGGAATGTGAAAGAGATGCTAATAATCAACTCGTCACAGAAGTGCTTACATGAGATAAATTTGAGTATATTATGTCAAATTTCCATTTAGTAGATAACTACAATTTACAGGAAGGAGATAAGTTTGCAAAAGTTAGACCTTTATTTGCGAGACTGAATCAAAAATTTATGGAACATGGAATTTTGACAGAAATGCATAGTGTAGATGAGGCAATGGCCCCTTATTTTGGGAGACACTCATGCAAACAGTTCATTCACAGAAAACCTATACGATACGGCTATAAATTATGGGTTGGCGCATCAAGACTAGGCTACGTTTACTGGGTTGAACCTTACCAAGGGTCGTCAACCAACATTACTAAGAATTATGCAGATTTGGGGGTTGGTGCTGGGTGGTATTAGAGTATGCACTGAGGAAAAAATGGCCAAATTAAAAATTTCATTTAGTTTTCGACAATTTTTTCACTTCTCTCCCTCTTATGGGAAAATTGACAGAAAAAAATTCCTTTGCGACTGGTACTGCTAGAGAAAATCGTTTACAAGGCGTCCAATTCAGAGATTCTAAAATTATGAAAAGGGAAAAAAGAGGTAGTTTTGATTACAACAAAATTTCCGATACAAACATAATTGAACAGTAAAATGGCATGACAATGATTTAGTAACACTCTGTTCAAATGCCGCAGGATTGCAACCAATTCGCTTTGTAAAGTGATACTCTCAAAAGGATAAAAAAGTATTCAGGTAAGAAACACAATCTGCAAGAAAATCAATGTTTTCAAAAATGCTTTTGATTTTAGGTAGAACAGCCTCATCTTGTAAATGTATTCAACGCAAATATGGGCGGCGTTGATCGTTGTGATCAAAATATTGGTCTGTATCGCATTTCCATCCGGGGTAAAAAGAGGTATTTTTCATTGATCAGCCACTGTATTGATATGGCTGTTCATAATTCCTGGCGACTTTATAGATCGCACGGAGGACATATGGATCAATTATTATTTAGCCTTGTTACAACAAAACAAGAAACCGCCATCTTTTTCTAGAGGACGTCCTTCGGCTAATGAAAATATAGATATTCGTTATGATCGTTTAGATCATTTTGTGATACCACAAGAAAAGCCAACTAGATGTGGCTTATGTCATGATTGAGCAAAAACAAGGTGCTCTAAGTGCAATTTAGGGATGAAAAATGTTCTTTGTCCTTCCATACTGAACCTTAATGTTCGCCTTTGTGCCTAGTGTACCATATTTTGTACGGCATTTTTTTACAATTTACCTAAAATAAAATTTAAAAAATAATAAATTTGTTTAATATATGCTTCATATAGAATGAGCTGTAGGCATATCTGGGTTAAATAACTAAAGTTTGGCAATGTCATTGTATGATATATTATACATCTTCGAAATCAGAATTATTATATTTAACTGTGTAAAAATCCAATATGAATTCTATAAGAAAAAATAAAGTTGATAATTGAAGACAAGAGATCAAACAAAATATTGAAAGTCTAATTATGCTATCTTGTGGAGGAGGTAGAAACATTGTTATAATCTGTGTATACATAATAGTCAGAAATGTTGTATATTGGCTGTTAAATGTTAAAAATACACAAATACTACCCAAAAAATATAACTTATGATTCTTTCTTTTCCCTAGTAAACCTGAAGAAACGATGGGTGCTGATGAGAGTTTGAAATTAGCTAAATATGAATTATTTCCTTTGGATGCTGTCCAACTAGGTTGGAATAACTGTGATTGGTCTGTGGGAGCTGGAATGGTGAACATGGGCAATACCTGCTATTTAAATTCTACTTTACAAGCACTTTTCCATATTCCTGCGTTAGTAAATTGGCTGATGTCTGACAAGGACCATACTGCTGCTGACTGTCAAGATTCAGGTAAATTATGCGATTTCTTTCTTTATATAGGAATGTTCTGGAACAACTTTCTATTAGCAGTCTATATTTGGAAAAAAATATCAATTTGATACGTACAGTAATGGACAACAGTATATAGACAAACTTTAATTTAATTATTAATACACCAATCTGTATACGTACATAATTCTTTATAGCATAATACTCACTTATACATAAATAAATTCATTAGACTCCCTTCAATAAAAATTTAATTGAAAAAACTGGAACTATGAAGGACAAAAATATATATACAAAGCAAAACAATTATAGAAAAAACAAACAAAGTTCATTGAATTATAGAAAACCAACCATGTTTGTGTTAATATTTTGTAGCATAATCATTATTATCAATTATCAAAATTCAATAAACAATTCTGGGGGTTCCATTTCATATGTCAGTATACAGGGTGTCCCAGAAGTCGACGTCAAGCCGAAACCGGGTGATAGGCAAAGTCATAACAGCTATCAGAAAAATATTTAAAAAAATTTTATGTATGTGTTTTGAAAATTATAGGTCTTTGAAAAAAATATAGAAATTTCACACCCTACGGCAGTCTGTCAACTCCTGTTACTACAAATATTAACTTTTTTTGGATTTTATTTTTTCAATGTAATGATGAATAATGCATCTTCAAACTGGTGTCTCAACCTTACTGCCAACTTTTCTCGTTCAGGAAAAATTGCCGCTTATTTCCCAACCAAGTATTCCAAAGTAAAACTTTGCTCAACTTTAACTGGCTGTACTGGAAAAAAATGTACTACGAGAGTTTGGCAAGTAACCTTAGAAGTTGGCGCATTTAATAAGGATTGAGGAAAATGTTATACCATTTTGGAATCGTTATTAAATGCGCCAACTTTTGAGGTTACTTGCCAAACTCTCGTAGTACATTTTTTTTCCATTACAGCCAGTTCAAGTTGGGCAAAGTTTTACTTTGGAATACTTGGTTGGGAAATAAGTGGCAATTTTTCCTGAACGAGAAAAGTTGGCAGTAAGGTTGAGACACCAGTTTGAAGATGCATTATTCATCATTACATTGTAAAAATATAATCCAAAAAAAGTTAATATTTGTAGTAACAGGAGTTGACAGACTGCCGTAGGGTGTGAAATTTCTATATTTTTTTCAAAGACCTATAATTTTCAAAACACATACATAAAATTTTTTCAAATATTTTTCTGATAGCTGTTATGACTTTGCCTATCACCCGGTTTCGGCTTGACGTCGACTTCTGGGACACCCTGTATATTGATATAATCATTTAGACTCCTTTTTGCGAGATTCCCGCTCGGATGTTTATTATTTTATTGAAATAAACTTTGATTTCTTCCCGAACAGGTGGCCTGTGTATTATCTGCGCGATGCGCAAGACATTGCAAGACTCCCAACAACGTAACGCGAATTCAATCCGTCCGATTTTAATATTAAACAAGTTACGCTTAGTCTGCGAGCACTTCATCCCCGGTCGACAGGAAGACGCGCACGAGTATCTGCGCTTTTTGGTCGAGGCGATGGAAAAAGCCTACCTGAGCCGATTCAAAAACCACACCGAGTTCGATCCGAAAACTAAGGAGACGACGCCTCTGAACCAGATCATGGGAGGGTACTTGAGATTGGCGGTGAGGTGTTTGAAGTGTGGTCACGTCAGAACCAACTTTGACTTTATTCAAGATCTGTGCCTGGACATTAGAAAAGCTCAGACGATCGACGAGGCGTTGGAAGTTTATTTTTCCAGGGAGAAGCTGGAAGGGGAGCTTTACCATTGCGAGGCGTGTCAGAAGAAGGTCAGTATAGGTTTTTATTCATGTACGGTGAAATCTCGTTTGGACGGACGGACTGGAAGTGTCCGTTCAAGAGTTGTGTTTAAAAAAAAAGTCGGTAATTTTTACTCAAAAAGAAATTTATTGACGGATTCGGGTTCACAATGACATATTAGACGAAAATACGGTTTGCGAAGTAATTGTAAAGTCTGGTTTTATTGCTGCAAGTTGTTCAAGGGGGTATTCAAAACATGGACGCATAAAATGGGTACACAAATTTTTGTGGGAAAAAATTTTATTCGAAGAATGAGAAAACGTGTTTTTTGGGATTCAATCGAAAGTGTTGCTGGAACGAAAAACTCTTCATATAACATTTTTAGGTATGTATGAGACCTACAAAATGAGACCACGCGTAAAAAGATCCGAATAATAGTAAAAAAGTTCCGAAAATCGAAGCAAATTACTTCTAAATAACGACAACAAAAGTTGATTGGTCAAGTTATTTTTGAGAATTCTTAATTGTTTACCCCGAAACACCTGTTTTCCGGGCCATTTTATAGCAAAATACACTAGTTAACTCTTGCCGATATAGTAGTAGAAGTAGTAGTAGAAAGATTTATTTAGCACATTTGGCTACATAAACAGAATAATTGTAAACAACTTAGAACTAGTAAATTCAAGCCATATGGTGTATGATGTAAATGCTAGGCAACCTATAATTGTAGATTTAACAAGTGATTTCTTAATTTTACTTTAAATTTTGTCAAAGTTTTCTGGTCTTTTATCTCCGAGTATAATTTATTATATTCAATCAACCCTTGATGGAATACAGATTTGTAGCATATGTTATACTTTTTGGTCATCTTTATTTCTGGTATTATGTAAATGATGGTCGACATTTTAAGATGTTAGATTAGTTAGGCTTGATGGAAATATATTATTTTTTACTTTATAAATGAATATCATTACAAGATATTTGATAAAAATTTTTACATTGAGCCATTTTAATTTGCTAAGCATTTGCCTAATTGGAGTATATTTATCTTTATTTAGTATTATTCTCAGGCACTTATTTTGTAAAATTTGCAGTCTTTCAAAAATGGAATTATTTGCTAAATATAGAATAGTCGAACAGTACAAGAAATTTGGAAGAATGATGGTATTATAGATAATTTTTCTGCTATATGAACTCAGACATCCAGAAACTCTCGATAAATATCCCACTTTACTACTAATCTTATTTATAACTTTTTCATAATGAATATCAAAAATTAATCGAGAGTCAACAAAAACCCCCAGGTATTTAAAATTTTCTACGAATTCAATATCTTCACCATCAATATTCACTTGAACATTTGTACATTGTTTTTTTCCGATTAACAAGGCTTCCGTTTTACTTGCATTTAATTTTAGTCTGTTAGATGCTAACCATTTTGAGACAAGCTTCAAGTCTTCATTTATATAAGAGATACCAGACTGAATATTTTTAGTACTTATATAAATCATAGTGTCATCGGTGAAAATTTGAATTTTGCATTTTTTGACTATGGCAGGTAAATCATTTATGTATAAAATAAAAAGAAGTGGTCCCAGGATACTGCCCTGTGGAACACCCAACGTATTTTCAATTTTTGATGAAATAGTGTCATTAACTTTTGTAACTTGCATCCTTTTAGACAAATAATTTCTAAACCAATCTAAAACACTTCCTGTTATAGCATATGCCTTCAATTTACCTAATAAAATATCTCTATCAATCGTTTCAAATGCCCTCTTCAAATCCAAAAATACTGCTATGACAACTTCTTCTGAGTCTATGGCTCTTCTCCAATTTTCAGTTACCAACTGGAAAGCCGTTTCTGTGGAATATTTTTTTCGAAAGTCTGCTTGCGCCTCCACTAAAATTTTGTTTTCTTCTATAAACTGCATTAATTGGTCATGCACTATGGACTCTAATAATTTTTCAATGTCTGGTAACACGTTTACTGGTCTCATATCGCTGCATCTTTTAGAATTTTTTATTTTGGGAACTGGTGTTATTGTAGAGCATTTCAAATTTTCAGGGAAAGAACTGCTTCTCAGTGAACAATTGATCCAATTTAATACAGGATATCCCAAAATTTCGAAATAGTTTTTCAACACGTTTTTAGTAGTCATTTCGGCACAGTTGTTATTTGATTTTGAAAAATTCTTCAAATTCGTAGGATTCGTACTTCTAAATAACGACAACAAAATTTGGGTTGATTGGTCAAGTTGTTTTTGAGAATTCTTAATTGTTTACCCCGAATCACCTGGTTGCCGGGCCATTTTATAGCAAAATACACAGTTAACTCTTGCCGATATGAGTCACAAACCATTCCGGAAGATAAATGTTATATAGAAATGTTGTCAATACAGTACTAGATCGCAAAGTTGTCAAATGAGCGGCGACTATGGACTGATTGTATGGACCTGTCCGACTGACTTGATCCGTTTAATTTTTTTTGTCCGTGTCAAACTTTTTTCGCATTCGAAATGAATTTTACGCCCATGAAAAGTGAAAATGACATTTGGTTTGAGTGCATCGTGACATTGTCGTTTCTTTCCAGGTACCAGCGACTATGCAGTATGCATTGGAAAGAGCACCTATGGTCTTATGTATACACCTGAAGAGATTTACAGTTAGAAATAACAAAATTACTAAACATGTAACTTTCAGGCAACGGTTAGACTTAACTAGGTGAGTTCGGTTTGTTTGTTTGTTGAAGATTTTTTTAATCAATTTTCCGTAATTTTGCGTTCTTCTCTTTTAAAATTATATTGTTATGATTTTTAAACCTAACGACGGATAGAATTGTTTGCTCTCGCGATATTTTCGACGATATGCACGTTGCGTTAATGACATTTTTCAATGTCCATTGTGACCATTTCGGCGCGTTTTTTCGGAGTAAAGCGATTCATGACTAAAATTGTAGTAAATTGATGTTTCAGAAATACGTATAACCAAATCACTCGGTGTATTATTTACTGGACAAGTTTTTACTTTTATGTATTATCTACTATTTTGAGTTACAAAAATTATTTTTAATATTTCATTTTTGGTAACGGACGATAATAAATGTTTTTTTGATTTCAGTTTATTTCTATTATAAAAAACAAATAATTACCTTCCGACTCTTATAAGCGCCAGCTGGCACACAGGAAAGCGATTTGTAAGTCAGTGCCGTCGGCTCTTAGAATAACCACAAAAATCTTCTAATTAAAAAAACATTTTACGAAAATACCTCAATAATTGATTTTACGAAGTTATACTACCAAAATAACAAATTAACCGTTTTACAACTAATTGGCTCCTGGGTAAAACCAACCGAAAAAAGGTGGCAGTCAACGTGTTAAGCCGCAAAAAATGGGATCAGGAGGAAACGCAAAAATATACTAAGTGACATATAAATCCGAACACCCAGTTTAAATGGTTTTATTTTAATAAAATTTTGTGTATAAGTACTTAATGAAGCATAATAAGTAAATGATAAAAATTTCAAAATGATTGCACTGCTTTAAAGCCCTTTGACCTTTAATAATGTGTGGATGCACCCTGATCTGCTACGCATTCTCCAACGCGCCTAGGCATGCTTCTGATCAGGTGGTCAATGTCCTCCTGTGGTATCTCATTCCAGGCAACCACCAACTCCTCTCGAAGTGCTTCTAGAGTCTGAGGAGGACGTTGCAAATTGAGCAATCTCCTCTCGTGCTCAATTGGGGATAAGTCGGGAGATCTTGGTGACCATGGTAACAATGTGACATCATTATGTTGAAAGAACTCTATTGTGACTCTTGCAACATGTGGTCGGGCATTATCTTGTTGGAAAGTCGGATCTGCCAGGGTGTCAAGATAGGGTAAAAGATGGGGTTCTAGAACTTCGTGGATATAACGCTGCGCGTTCATGTTACCTCTGATGAAGATTAAAGGTGACCTGGAACCATAAGCTATAGCACCCCAAACCATAACTCCAACAGTGTGATGAACATGTCTTTCAACAAAAAACTGTGGATTCCTCCTTTCACCACGTCGCCTTCTAACCCTGGCACGACCATCGTGCATGCCTAAACAAAATCGAGACTCGTCACTAAAGACAATACTGTTCCATTCCTGATCCCAGAGTGACCGTTGTCTGCACCACTCAAGGCGATTACGTCGGTGTTCTCGAGTTAAAGGGAGGGCCCAGTGTGGCCGGTATGAAAACAAGCCAAAACTTCTCATTCGTCGGTAAACACTTCGCATGCCAATAGGTCTTCCGTGTTCTGCAAACCATTCATTTGCAATGGACCTGGTAGTGGAGAAACGGTCCCTTAAGGCCAATAATCTTAGGCGGCGATCTTCACGGTCTGTTGTTCTACGGCGGCGTCCAACGCCCCTTGCTCTTTGCGTACGGCCTTCTCGAAGCCATGCCTGACAACACCTAACCACAGTGTCTACACTTATTTGCACTCTAACTGCAATTGCCCGAAAAGAAAGTCCAGCTTCCCGAAGTCCCACTATACGGCCCCTTTCAAACTCACTAAGTTGACGAAATCGTACAGGTCTCCATACTCTAGGCATCGTAACCGATCGTAAAGGATGTCAAGAACCAAAATCCGCCAACGTTGATTCTTTACTGCGGCTGAAATATTCATTTTTAGAGCGTTGGTGAATTAAAAAAAAGCAGTATAAAAACCGGAATGTCCAACTGATAAGGCTGAACATTTTTTCACTTGTTTTTTACAGTAAGATAAATACATTCAACTTTTATTAAAATAAAACCATTTAAACTGGGTGTTCGGATTTATATGTCACTTAGTATATACAGAGCATTTCATTTGCACTGAGAGCTACGTTTTGAGGAAAACAACCATTGAAGCGTTTTGATTCTGATAAGAAAGCGACTGTAACACCTTTGTCTACTCTTGATCCATTTGTTGCTACTTGACGATATTTCTTCATTATTCTGTTCGTATCTTTTCGGTTTGTGGTTTACTAGTTTTAAAGGTATATTATTTTTGTTGTAGATATGCCAGACATAAACCTAATGTTCCCCTGGTATACCGATTAGTAGCATTAGTAACGCATATGGGGCCGACAGTCAGTTGTGGACACTACACTGCAGTGGCCCAAGCACCATCTGGAAATTATTATCAATTTGATGACAGTATGGTAAGTGTACTGAGTTTGAGGAATCTTTAAAATTCATGAAATTTAGGCCAATCAAATTGTTTGCTGATGTTAATACAACGAACGCCGGATTGCACGGAAGAGCAATTATGTTGAATGTCGCCTCCCTCATAAAATGAGTTTTTTTTTCTTTATTGTTCTTTTAACTAAAAAATAACGACACATTATTATTATTTGAATTTGACGCCAATTTTTTTGTACAAAGATTGTCGATTACCACATTTATTTTTTACTGGAAAATGCTTAACTGCAAATCTGCAATAATAGCTAAAAGGTCTTAGATGTGCTCAACATCCAAAAAAATCATTCAACGATGTTCAACTGCTTCTAAAGGATGTCTCAACAAGAGCGCCGGATTTGAACTTGCCGCCAATTTTTTTCTACAAATGGTATGGTGTTTACTTGATGACAGCTGTCATGGCCAGACCGCGCGATTAGACATCATGGAGCAACGTTTCTTTATTGTGAAAATTCACTACAAAAATGGAGAAAATTACGCGCAAAACAGTTCGCAAATTACGTACAATTTTCGGTCGCAATAATGCGCGAAATGAGTCGACAGTTTGCCGTTTAATTAGAAAATTTGAGACAAAATTCGCGTTGCTGAATGTGAAGACTACTGTTCGTCGCCATCCTGGTCGGTCCTTCAAAAATATAGTCGCAGTATGGCCGGGAATCCAGGCACTTCTATTCGGCATCGTGGCCGAGAATTGAACCTTACCAGACCTACTTTGTAACGAATTTTGATAAAAGGTCTGTGCCTGCGTGAATTCGTTGATTGGGCGCGGGAGCACCGCCAAATTGATGCGGATTTCTCGCAGAAAATCTTTTTCTCTGATGAGGCACATTTTCAACTGAATAAGCAGAAGGCCGAATTTGGGGTTCCGAAAACCATTGTGCAATAATCGAACAACCAATGCATCCGCCGCGAGTTACCGTTTCGTGTGTACTGTGGAGTGGCGGAGAGATGCTGTACTTCTTCGAAAATGCAGCTGGAATTGCGGTAACTGTTAATGGTGTGCGGTATCGCGTAATCCCAACTAGCAAAGTAGTGCTATAAGCTTTTGGTAAAAGAACCGTTCAGCCATAAAAGCTCTCTATTGTTGTTGCCTGAACACCAAAATGCTGGCTTGATGTGTGGAATGCAAATTTGCTTTCTGCAATATATTTGCTCTAAAATGAGGTGATTAAAATATTCTTTAGCATAATAGTTATACAACACCTTATAGGACAAATTTTTAACTGTTGCATAAATGTTTATAACGGCATATTTGCACGTTAGTCAAAATGATTGTGTTGTGGTTTTATCAACTGTTCAAACAGAAGATCTATATCTTGTACAAATTCTGGGTAAATCATTCGACTCTGTCGGTATTTCATTTCAGACATTTGTCAAATTGTTGTATAACACCTGCAGGCAACACCAAAATATTCTAATAAACTGAAGACAACATGGGCTATGCCATGATTATACACAACCACCAGCCATATTGGGCAAACATTTATTCCTCTATTTAATATTAAATAATTATGTTTCAGTTCGAAATTACAGATATAAAGTGATAAACATTAGTGTAATTGTGTCAAAATATCGGATTTGCGGAAGATTTGACGCAGATACAATACATAAGAAATAGTTTGGTTGCAATAAAGTAAAATCACGTAACAGAATAGTTGTATAGTTGACAAAAACTGAATCTTGCAGTGACGCAAATGTCCTATAGCGGCTGCAAGGGGCTAACACTTTTGTTGTATAACTGTTACCTGCAGCCCTTATACAACCTCTTAAATGACTGAAGTGTCCTATTAGGTGTGCCTATTCCGCTTGTGTAGCTGTTCTAAGAGGGTTTTTCCAATATTCTTACAGTATCCAATGCTGTGTAAGGAATACTGTATAATCATTCTTGCAACTCTAATAGGAGTGATAATTGTTAGTTGGGATGTTAACCGAGTTTTTCTGGAACCAGTTGGACCGAATTCATGTGGAGGATATGTTCTCCCAACAAGACGGTGCGACCTGCCACACAGCACGCGAAACAATGGTGGTACTGCGGACCAAGTATCCAGATCGTGTCATCTATCGGTTGGACGATCAAAATTGGCCACTGAGATCGTGCGATCTAACGCCAATCGACTTCTTCCTCTGGGACTACGTGAACGAGAAGGTGTGTGCGAATAAGCCACAAACAGTTCAACGCCTTAAATAAGAGATACGGCGCGTTATCGACGAAATAGAGTCACGAAAACGTTATCTGGAATTTTAATAAAAGACCGACCCGGTGCTGGCCATTTACCGGATGTCCTATTTCATGTTTAATCGCAACTATTCCTCTTCTGTTTTTTTTTAAATCAAATCCGGCACTCTTGTGGAGACACCCTTTATTGATCATATATCTGCGTTCCAGGTGCGACCGATATCCCACCAAGCCGTGTTCAACACAAACGCTTACATAATGTTCTACGAGCTGGAGTCGTCGCCGTATTCGCAGAAGCAATCGGCGACGCCGTCCACCAGCAAGGCGAAAGTGGCGACGTCCGGCAGCCAAGAACCGTCGTCGATGTCCGGCGCGCAGATGGTCAGCAGCAGTTCGAGTTCGAGCGGCGGACCGAGCAAATCGGCGACGATGAACGGCGGCGTCGGTTACACCAGCGACACCTTTTACGGACCTCAACTGCCGCCGAACAAAATTAGGAAGACGATGAACGGATCCATTGTTAGTACTAATGGTATGTGACATACGTCTTTTTTATTTCTAATAGTATTACAGGAGGCGAGACTTAGGTACTATTTCTATTCTGTCACCTAACCCGAGATGTATAAAAACTGAAAATTTGTTGAAATTTAATACCTGCATACAATGACAAAATAAAATATAATCTATGTGAAGGCATAAAGAAAACATGAGGTCAGTTAACACTTACGGGTTACAACAGATTTTGCTGCTGATCAAGTAGATTTTCTTTCACTTTTTTCTTGCATTTGGGTAATGAATTGGTTTGTTTTAAACTACTAGTAATAATATTGTAACGAAAACGCTGTTCTTACTGTTCGAACTCCAATTTTGTTACTCTTACCCTAATTTATAACTAAGGTCCGGATTTTTATGTGGTATAAAACTGCAAAATATGTTTTTTTTATGCTGTAAAAAATAGACGAAATATGGATTTTATATGTGGAAAAATTGAAACATAAATCTGCGTAAACAAAAAAAATAAACGCTTATATATTAATATATTGTTTAATATAATAAAAAATATAATATCATATCAAATAATATTAAACTAAAAGTCAACAAAACAAAATAGGTTTTTCTGTAATGAACAGTACAGTACTAATCCAAAATAACCCACACAAAAAGTTAAACGATAGGGTTGCAGTATAAAACTAATAACTGGTTAATACTATCCATGCTTAAATTATGGCGTTTGTCTGTTAATAAATTTTTAAATGCCGAAAATGAACGCTCCACATCACATGTCTGAAGGCTTCATTTTAATATCCGGATCACTTTGGTTCTGTCCTCTCAAAATGTAACAGACATTTTTTATTTGTTGGTATCCAGGATTGCGAGATAAAACACTTTCCCATTTAACCCTAATTTTGTTTCCAATTTCTCCAGGAATAAGACTTAGTTCTTCAATCACCTTTTCTATGATTCTGAAAGAGTCGTTCAATGACAACTGGGTAGTTTCCAGCTCCATTATTGCTTTTGCTAACATGAAAAAATGAGCTTTGGTAAAGGCTAAGTCTTCTAAAATGTTTGACTCTAGTATCGATTCCTTACAAGATCTAAGTGCTATAGAATCAGCGTCAAGCGAAAGAAAAATTTCTTTGATTTTTACGAAATTATCTGCATAAAACAAGGCAGCATTTAGCCATGTACCCCATCTTGTAATAACAGGCTCAGGTGGTAAGGGCAAGCCAGGAGCCATTTCTTTGTAAAATTCTACCCTTAGGGAAGCTTTTAAAAAGACCTTTTTTCCGTTATTAATTAAATTATTAACAGAAGGATATTCTGCACGTATTAATTCGGCTAATCTATTCAATGCATGAGCCATACAGGTGAAATGTATCAATTCCGGGTAAAATACCAGTAAAGCTTTTCCAGCCTTGATCATATAAGCGGCTGCATCAGAAAGCGTCAATTTTACGTTTTCTGATTTAACTGGATTTGGTGCATATAGTAGGGTTAAACTATCATTAATAAAACATGCAACGGTCGAGTGATTGGTTTTTCTAAGGCTGCTGAATTAATTAAATAAGACACTGGAGGGGTAGATTCGTTTAAAATATACTAAGTGACATATAAATCCGAACACCCAGTTTAAATGGTTTTATTTTAATAAAATTTTGTATAAGTACTTAATGAAGCATAATAAGTAAATGATAAAAATTTCAAAATGATTGCACGCATTCTCCAACTCTGATCAGGTGGTCAATGTCCTCCTGTGGTATCTCATTCCAGGCAACCACCAACTCCTCTCGAAGTGCTTCTAGAGTCTGAGGAGGACGTTGCAAATTGAGCAATCTCCTACCCATCATATCCCACACGTGCTCAATTGGGGATAAGTCGGGAGATCTTGGTGGCCATGGTAACAATGTGACATCATTATGTTGAAAGAAGTCTATTGTGACTCTTGCAACATGTGGTCGGGCATTATCTTGTTGGAAAGTTGGATCTGCCAGGGTAAAAGATGGGGTTCTAGAACTTCGTGGATATAACGCTGCGCGTTCATGTTACCTCTGATGAAGATTAAAGGTGACCTGGAACCATAAGCTATAGCACCCCAAACCATAACTCCAACAGTGTGATGAACATGTCTTTCAACAAAAAACTGTGGATTCCTCCTTTCACCACGTCGCCTTCTAACCCTGGCACGACCATCGTGCATGCCTAAACAAAATCGAGACTCGTCACTAAAGACAATACTGTTCCATTCCTGATCCCAGAGTGACCGTTGTCTGCACCACTCAAGGCGATTACGTCGGTGTTCTCGAGTTAAAGGGAGGACCTAGTGTGGCCGGTATGAAAACAAGCCAAAACTTCTCATTCGTCGGTAAACAATTCGCATGCCAATAGGTCTTCTGTGTTCTGCAAACCATTCATTTGCAATGGACCTGGTAGTGGAGAAACGGTCCCTTAAGGCCAATAATCTTAGGCGGCGATCTTCACGGTCTGTTCTACGGCGGCGTCCAGTGCCCCTTGCTCTTTGCGTACGGCCTTCTCGAAGCCATGCCTGACAACACCTAACCACAGTGTCTACACTTCTTTGGACTCTAACTGCAATTGCCCGAACAGAAAGTCCAGCTTCCCGAAGTCCCACTATACGGCCACTATCAAACTCACTAGGTTGACGAACTCGTACAGGTCTCCCTACTCTAGGCATCGTAACCGATCGTAAAGGATGTCAAGAACCAAAATCCGCCAACGTTGATTCTTTACTGCGGCTGAAATATTCATTTTTAGAGCGTTAGTGAATTAAAAAAAAGCAGTATAAAAACCGGAATGTCCAACTGATAAGGCTGAAAATTGTTTCACTTGTTATTCACAGTAAGATGAATACATTCACCAACTTTTATTAAAATAAAACCATTTAAACTGGGTGTTCGGATTTATATGTCACTTAGTATATATTTAGCAAATAATTCCATTTTTGAAAGACTGCAAATTTTACAACATAAGTGCATGAGAATAATACTAAATAAAGATAAATATACTCCAATTAGGCAAATGCTTAGCAAATTAAAATGGCTCAATGTAAAATTTTTTATCAAATATCTTGTAATGATGATGATATTCATTTATAAAGTAAAAAATAATATATTTCCATCAAGTCTAACTAATTTAACATCATTAAATGCCGACTACCTTGCATTTAATGACCAAAAAGTATAACATATGATACGAATCTGTATTCCATTAAGGGTTGATTGAATATAATAAATTATACACAGAGATAAAAGACCAGAAAACTTTGACAAAATTTAAAGTAAAATTGAGAAATCACTTGTTAAATCTACAATTATAGCTTGCCCAGCATTTACATCATACATCATATGGTTTGAATTTACTAATTCTAAGTTTTTTACAATTATTCATTTATGTAGCCAAATGTGCTAAATGAATCTTTCTACTACTACTTTCAACAAGCACCCGTAAATCCTACTTACTCGCAGAGCGCTCCGACTCGAACTGAGCATAGAGGGAACCACCGGGCCACCGCCCCACAACGCCTTGACTCGACGCCCCGAATTTTTTATACGCATTTTCCGGGCAAACCTCGTACATGTTTGGCTTTGACAATTCTCCGCACTGCAACCTTCTCAATTCTCTTTGCGAGTTTGAGTGTGAAGCATTGCCTCAACCAGCTAACCCATAACTTAATACGACTTATTACCTCCCAGGTAATAACAATAACTCCGGATCGCCGTCGCCCACCGGCAGTCCCCCCGAAGACCAGACGACCGAGCGATCGTCGTCCAGCGTCAAGAACAATGAAATCAGCTCGAGCAATGATCTGAAATTCTCGTCGCCCGTTTCCTCGCCGAACATCCCCACCAGCGTCAGCAGTCTGTCCAGTCCCGAAATGCCGGACGTGAAAGACTCATCGGCGTCGATACCGAACAAACCTCTGGTTCCGTACGAGACGGACGAAACGAGCAGCTCGGAAGACTCGAATCACTCGGCTGCCGAAGCGACTAAGTGGGCGACTACGAAGGCGACCGTCGGCGATTGGCAAGTCACCTCGTCGACTGACGTCGATCACGAGCCTTCTTCGCAGGGTAAGTTTGGCAATTCCGACTGTTGTGATACGTATGCTAAGTGACATATAAAATGCCACGCCCAGAATTATTTATTGGACTTGTAATCATATTTGCTATCATGGAAGTATACGCTGAATAAGGTCTTTTGGACTGTTTTTATACCATCCCCGAAATTTCGAGTTCAAATTTCAATCACTACTACTACTATCTGTGGACCTAAAACTTGTAAAAGTATGCTCAAAATTACAACACTCCTAGTCAATGTTGCGTTTTCTATGTCATTTGGTTTGTTTCTGATTTATTTAGCATTAATGCTACAATATCCATATTACACAGTATATCACAAAATATATTATGTCTTTAAGACTACATATTTTTATACAAAATTTCACTACTATCAATTCTGGTTTTCCATGAGATATTTTTTGAATTTCCCTTTAACATTTTCAAACTGACACACATCTTGATATCATTACTTAATTTATTAAATTCGTACAATCTCTTTTGAAATACTGACTTGCTCGTTATATTGCTACTGCAGTTTTGTAAATGAATGGCTATATTTCCTCTGGTAGAATAATAATTGTGGCACTCATTGTTCGATATAATAAAATTTTCGAAGTGATTTGGTAGAAGATGATTTTTTAACTTGAATATGAAATTGAAAACCAAGTAGGCTATGAAATTTTTGATATTTAACCATTGTAGTTCTTTCAGCATAAAATTTTTTCTAGTATATTTATTTTTATTTAAGATGATTCTCATAGATTTATTTTGTAATTTTGAAAATACAGTTTTATTTGCAGTGAACAAAATAGTCGAACAATATTACATATTATTTTCTTGGATATTTTTGAAATAATATATTCATAGTGCCCTACAAATTTTAATTTATTGTCTACGTATAGGCCCAAATATTTAAATCATTCGATTGACACAATTTTTTCATGATTAATTGTAAGATTTATCGTAGTTTGATCTAAAGATTTTCCTATTAGCATATATTTTGTTTTGTTTGTGTTTAGTTTAAGTTTACTTACATTTAACCAATTTATTGTTTTTCATATCATTACTTAACAGCTCTATTGCAGTTTCAATGTCTTTATTTGATTTTATATACAGGGTGACTTCGAAGTTGAGTCATTTATTTTAACAGTGAGTAGATCTGATCAAAAGAAATGTTTTTTCCCTTTACCATTTTTCTGGTAAAATTAAAGTAACAAAGTTATAGCCCTTTGGAAGTTTGAGTACCGCCCTGTCTCAATAATAATATTATGTGCTCGTGTTTGGCGACAACGGATATAATTCGCCTTATCGGTTCATCGCATCGGAAACAAAAAAGCGAAAGAATTTGGAACGATGTTTTTACAATTATTTCATTCAGTTGTATATAGTCAGTGTCAGTCGGTAGTGGATAGTGGTGTCTGTTGCGTGGCTCAAACGAAATAAAAAATGGCACATGTTTATGCGGATCGGTTTCCCAATCGAGTGCAACCAACCCCTCGTGCCTTTGTTAATGTAGTACAACGGGTTCGTGAATCATTTGACTTAAGACCTCACATATGGACGGCATGCCGGTGCTCCAAGACCTCACGATCAAATACAGGTCCGCACTGAAATACTTGTCGGGAGGATACTTTATAAATCAAGGTAATTTTTTTTTATTTTTACACACATATTTTGGTTTATCTTCCTTCTACAATCATTATCTGAAAATTAATGACTCAACTTCAAAGTCACCCTGTATATATGGTTAAACTGATCTAACTGGGTTGACATTTTCAAATTTGATTTTTAGCTCCTGCAAATGACAGCATAGTCTGTCGAAAGCTCGAGATTTAAGTCACAAGAGTTCACTACGTTATAAGTTGTCGATTCCCAATAAACAATCTAGTTTGTATTTCTTACCCAACTGGTTGTTGGCTCCGGCAATTTATTTCTCGCATAAGATTTAGTTCCATCCAGTGGAAAAGTTCACATTTCAAATTTGAATCACGCGGCAACCGTGTACGCGAGGAAGTGGGGAGAGGTCTTGATCGACGCGTACGGCGTGCGGGTTAAATAGTCACAATGGAACGTTGGACCGGAGCGCGACGTGCTTTTGCTATCGAGGCCTACTTTAAGAGAATAGTTTCTTTGTATTAATTTTATATTTATTTTTCTTGAATCAAAAAGTGAACTTTCCCACTGGGTACATAACTTTTATAATAAAAATGTTTCATGAGTTATCGGATCTTAAAGTAAAGATTAGTGGCTCGACGGTTTTCGCTGACGGATCTTTTTCTTGCACCAGGAAGAGTAGGATGGGAGAAGAACAAATTTCCCGGACAGACGACGACGTCGTCGAGCAGCACGGGTTCGCAACAGGGCGTGGGATCGCAGCAGTCGCAAGATAACACGGTCAGCGAGCTGTTCAAGATGTCTCACAGCGGGTATTCTGCGCCGGTGACCACGTGGAACGGCACCAGGTCGCAACTCGATAAGGAAGTCAACGAGGAAAGGAGAGAGGAACGGAAGCGGAACCTGGCGGACACCTCGCAGGATCAAAATCAGAAAGCCAAACATCTGAAAACCAATAATTACAATAATAACCATTACAAGTCGAATCCGGGATATAATCCTATACAAGTGAGTAGATTTTTTGAAATTCAAATAGATAATTTACGATAGTTTATCTTTGCTTTCAGCTTAAATTTTCTTACAATATTCGCAAAAAATATTTTTTTTTAAATGGGCAAATAAGTATGAAAAAAAAACACAGTGTGTGTAGATTATATATGATTTCTCATTTATGTTGATTTTCAGGAATACCACAATGCAAAGAACTGGAACGGCTACGGAGGGCAACACTATAAACCATTCTACAATGGGAATAGGCATCGGAGATTTTTTAACCAAAAAAATTGTCATAAAAATTATAGGTACCGACAGTGAATGTGTGAATATTTTTTACAAAGACTTGAGTGTTTTAACATCTAAAGTATTTTCCCTGTTTAGTTTCTGTATTAAAAAGATAGAGATTGAGTTTCATGTCATTTTTTTTAAATTGTTATAAATCTTACTTGTTTTAAACAAAATTGTAGTTTTTATCATTTCATTCGGAAAATGATTATTTATTTCATCTCAAAGTGTATGTTATGCATTTATTCTGTCTTAAACTGTAATGTATATGGTTTTTATTTTTTTTATTGTCACTGTACAGAAATAATTCATCTTTTAGTTATAATGCTACATGCGTATAAGATTAAGGTAAATAAAAATATTTGTTATTTACTTGACAAAGCTTTCAATATTATTCCATTACCCCGGATGGTTTATTATCCCTGGCAGTAGTGGTAACACATTCTCCAAGATGAATAAAATCAATGGTCGAGATAGGAGTTAAAAACCCCTCATTTTTTTTTGTTGAAACCACCGCATACCAGTTGGAATTTGTGACTCGTCGCACAGCCGGCAGTGGCCTCCATGATATTGCAGCATCGCGTCGTGCACGCAACGCCAACGATTGCAAAGTTATTTCGAATTATGAGTACATATTATACATCAGACATTGTTGTTGGAGAGAACAGTACGCCCTGAACATTTATTCGGAAAACAAAATTCACGATTATAAGAAATAATATACAGGGTAGGGTGTCCCAGAAGTCGACGTCAAGCCGAAACCGGGTGATAGGCAAAGTCATAACAGCTATCAGAAAAAAAAATTATGTATGTGTTTTGAAAATTATAGGTCTTTGAAAAAGATATAGAAATTTCACACCCTACGGCAGTCTGTCAACTCCTGTTACTACAAATATTAACTTTTTTTGGATTTTATTTTTACAATGTAATGATGAATAATGCATCTTCAAACTGGTGTCTCAACCTTACTGCCAACTTTTCTCGTTCAGGAAAAATTGCCACTTATTTCCCAACCAAGTATTCCAAAGTAAAACTTTGCTCAACTTTAACTGGCTGTACTGGAAAAAAATGTACTGCGAGAGTTTGGCAAGTAACCGTAAAAGTTGGCGCATTTAATAAGAATTCCACAATGGTATAACACTTAGAAGATTACTCGTTAACTTATGCACAATTTTTATTTGAAAAAAAACTGATGAAAATTTTTCAAAATTTCGTAATTAAACAGCGATTATGAAAACGCACAAGGACCCTTAAGGATAACTGTTCGCACAACAGTTGGCGTCAAAATGCTGCAGATGATGATTTACCTTTACAGCAAATGCTCGAACTGTTTTCCTTCAGCCGCAATACACGCTCGACATCTTCTTAAAAAAGATCGGGTTATTAAACGAGCGGGTCCACGGTTATTAACAAACTCAGCTGCTGCCAATAGTCTTTGCCGTAGCTCAGCTACATTTTGAATCGGCTTGAAATACACTTTTTCTTTTACAGTTCTCCAGTAAAAAAAATCTAACGGATTCAAATCTGGTGACCGGGCTGGCCACGGTATTGTTCCTGACCGCCCTATCCATCTGCTTGGAAAGTTTTGATCGAGATACTCTCTCACTGAGAGTGCATAGTGCGCTGGGCAGCCATCATGCTGAAACCACATGTCCCTGTAAATACTCAGTGGCACGTCCACCAATAAATTTTGTACATGATTTTTCAAAAAATCCAAATAAACTTCAGCAGTCATAGTCTCCGGGGGCTCAAACGGACCGATTATTTTACCATTTAAAATTCCTGTCCAATGGTTTATCTTGAAGCGATATTGAGATTTATCTTCTCTCATCAAATGTGGATTTGCTACGTGCCACTCGTGTAAGTTATGCAGGTTCATGTACCCATCTTTCTTAAATGTGATCTCCGACCATAAAATTTTTTCAAAGAACTGTGGATCTTTCCTGTGTCTTTCTAACATTGTGCGACAAAAAGCAACTCGGAGCTCATAATCCCGGGGCAGGAGAGGTTGAACACGCTGTATGTGGTATGGATGAAGCACATCACTTACTTGCTATTGCACACTTTGATACCGATCAGTACTCCTTCGTTTACTGCGCATCTTTACATGTTCGTGCTTGTTGATTTCGTACTGTTACTAATTTTGGATTCGTGAACTGGACTGTTAATCGCTTGTGATTTGGATTTGGACTGTTTAATTGCTCTTCAAAACAACATTTGCTTTCCTTAGACTATCTTTGATAGTGTGCTTGTGCAGTGCCGCTATGTCCGTGTACACCGTACAAGAATATGCTAACATGCACCTCATTTATGGGGAATGCAAATGCAATGCTAGTGCTGCAGCGAGACTTTATTGTGAGAGGTACCCGAATGCAGCTCGTCATCCAGATCATCGAGTGTTCACAAATGTGCACCGCTTACTGTTCTCAGAGGGCCAACTACCAAACCAATCACACGGTGAGGGAAGATCTTTCCTTCCTTACGAAGACGTGGTGCTAGGAGCTGTCGAAGAAGACCCGAGTACTTCAGTGCGTGCAATAGAACTAAAAACAGATGTGCCCAAAAGTACAGCCCATAGAATCTTGCAAAAAAACGTGCTCCATCCATACCATGTACAGCGTGTTCAAGCTCTTCTGCCCCGGGATTATGAGCCCCGAGTTGCTTTTTGTCGCACAATGTTAGAAAGACACAGGGAAGATCCACGGTTCTTTGAAAAAATTTTATGGTCAGATGAGACCACATTTAAGAAAGATGGCTACATAAACCTGCATAACTTACACGAGTGGCACGTAGCAAACCCACATTTAATGAGAGAAGATAAATCTCAATATCGCTTCAAGATAAACCATTGGACAGGAATTTTAAATGGTAAAATAATCGGTCCGTTTGAGTTCCCAGAGACTTTCACTGCTGTGGTTTATTTAGGTTTTTTGCAAAATCATTTAGAAAATTTATTGGAGGACGTGCCACTGAGTATTTACAGGGACATGTGGTTTCAGCATGATGGCTGCCCAGCGCACTATGCACTCTCAGTAAGAGAGTATCTCGATCAAAACTTTCCAGGCAGATGGATGGGGCGGTCTGGTACAATACCGTGGCCAGCCCGGCTACCAGATTTGAATCCGTTAGATTTTTTTTACTGGGAACTGTAAAAGAATATTTCAAGCCGATTCAAAATGTAGCTGAGCTACGGCAAAGACTATTGGAAGCAGCTGAGTTTGTTAATAACCGTGGATTCGCTCGTTTAATAACCCGATCTTTTTTAAGATATCGAGCGTGTATTGCGGCTGAAGGAAAACAGTTTGAGCATCTGCTGTAAAGGTAAATCATCATCAGCAGCATTTTGACGCCCACTGTTGTGCAAACAGTTATCCTTAAGGGTCCTTGTGCGTTTTCATAATCGCTGTTTAATTAGGAAATTTTGAAAAAATTTCATCAGCTTTTCTTCAAATAAAAATCGTGCATAAGTTAACGAGTAATCTTCTAAGTGTTATACCATTTTGGAATCCTTATTAAATGCGCCAACTTTTAAGGTTACTTGCCAAACTCTCGTAGTACATTTTTTTCCAGTACAGCCAGTTAAAGTTGAGCAAAGTTTTACTTTGGAATACTTGGTTGGGAAATAAGTGGCAATTTTTCCTGAACGAGAAAAGTTGGCAGTAAGGTTGAGACACCAGTTTGAAGATGCATTATTCATCATTACATTGTAAAAATGAAATCCAAAAAAAGTTAATATTTGTAGTAACAGGAGTTGACAGACTGCCGTAGGGTGTGAAATTTCTGTATTTTTTTTCAAATACCTATAATTTTCAAAACACATACATAAAATTTTTTTAGATATTTTTCTGATAGCTGTTATGACTTTGCCTATCACCCGGTTTCGGCTTGACGTCGACTTCTGGAACACCCTGTATATACGAGGGATGTCTTTTAAGTTTTGCATATGGAAATAAAACAACACGGTAGGTAGTTTTAAATTTTATCGTTTTCCATGAAGATTAATACACATCTGCATGTGCTCGTAACACTTATTCAACTCGTTTGCTGGCAGATCCAAAACGGCATTTTTAAATGCGTCAACTGCTTCGTCTGGTGACTGGAACCTTTGACCACGCAGTCTGTTTTTAATTTTCGGGCAAGTGAAGAAATCGCTAGGACTTAGATCGGGCCTATATGGAGGATGGTCCAATAATTCCACGTTTTCTGCCGTTAAATACTGCCTTGTTTTTTGGGCTGTGTGCGAGCTTGCATTGTCTTGGTGGAGGATGATTCTTTTTTCGGGGTTGATTTTTCGAGGCTCGGTGATGACTTTTGGCAAACAAATGGTGGTATGCCAATCCGCAGTAGCAGTTCTTTGCTCAGTAAGAGGAATTGTTGCAATATGATCCGCTTTTGACACAAATGTCGCGACCATCTTTTTCGAAACACTTCGAGAACGGATGACTTTTGTTGGCTTTTCTTCACTATAGAATATAAAGTCAATACCTTTACCTACTACAAAACGATGTATAACTCCCTACAACCCCCAACCCTTAAGTTTCATCCACAAACAAAAAAAATTCCGAAAATGATCAGGATCGTCTGTGGAACGTCAAAAAACGAAGATTAAGTTATTTTTATTTTTTTCGTGTTTTTGCCCGCTAGACCGATTTTCAAAAACTACGGCTTTTTCTAATAAAAATACCCCTGGTTTGCGAAATAATTGTAAAGTCTGGCTTTATTGCTGTTGTTGTTCAAGGGGGTATTCAAATCATGGACGCATAAAATGGCTACCCCAATTTTTGTGGGAAAACTTTTTATTTGACAGAATGAGAAAACGTGTTTTTTGGGATTCAATCGGGAGTGTTGGCAGGAACGAAAAAACTCATCATATAAGATTTTTAGGTATTTATGAGACCTACATGTACATGTCACTTTTGTACAACTACTCGTATGACCGACTTGCTAACACGGAGAATATGGACACAGAATTGAATGTTTGTAAACTAGATAAGTTGTTGGAATTAGAACAATGTAAAATGATTTTCAAAATTTTAAATAACCAACAAAAGTGTAGTACAAACATTCTAATCGCACATAATGTGCATGCCGATGAAACAAAATCACATAATAATTTGTACCAAGTTCCTACTATAACCAATAAAGGATTAAATAACCCTGTCACTGATGCGGTAAAAACTTATAACAACCTACCAAATAGTGTAAAAAAATGTACATGTTACATGTATTCAGAAATTATGTAAAGACACTCAAAAGTCACTGAATTTATTATAGCTAAAATTCGCACTTTAAATATTGTTGTTCTCCAGGACAGTGTTTTAAACACAGATTAGAGAACTTTGTTTTCTATAAAATTTGTAAAAATTGATTATCGAATAAAGTTTTGTTCAAAAAAAAAAAAATTAAATCTCAATTTCGAAATTTTTCGCGATTACATTACTTCCTTGCTCGTTGGCGTAAATATAAAAAAATATATCAAATCGGTTCATTCGTTGAGGAACTACGATGCAGCAGACATATGTTAAGCTTATATAACACATCTCATTTTTGCGTCTGGAGTTAAAAAATGAGTGGATATTTACATTGATGAATTTTTTCACAATTCAACTCATCTATTCGTAACGTTGCTGTTTATGCCGAACTTTTTACGGTAACGCACGAACGCCTATCGAAAATTGCCGATTCGTCCGTACAACGATCGTTGGCAGTGTTACCAGGTCTACCGATTTTGCGGTAGATCTATCGATTTTGGTCCTGGTCTACCGATTTCGAAGCAAAATCTACCGAAAAGTGGACTTTTCTTTCAATTGAATGATTTTTGTTTCCTATATAAGAGAAATATTTCTGATGCATAGCGGTAAAAAGAATGACAAAAGTACTATTATTAATCGTAGTAGACCAGAAATATTTTTATTCTCTTTGCCTGACATTCGTGTGCCACATATGCTAATTCTTCTCATCTGGGGAATCACCGAAGATACTCGATGATTTGGCTACATCGCCTAGGCCTAGCGGCTCGTGACAAGTCCATTCTAGATTACACTTGTCTCGTGTCAGCGTCAGCGCTCTCCTATTGTGAAGATATGTTTTCTTTTTAAATTGTAGGAAATTTCAGGCTGATAAAACATGATATAACTCAAAAGCAAGCACAATATGATGCAAACAGATGTTTGTGACATAACCTCAAAATAGAGTTCTGACACGGAGAAGTAGAAAACTATCACAATCAAGGAGGCCGTAAACGCGCCCTACAATTGTAGGGACGACTGACGATACGGGCCTTAGTAATTCCGAATTCGGCCAGTATTAGTATTGCCTGTCTTGCAGTCATTTTTTTTTCGCGTGCGTTTGCCCAACATTATAAGGAAGACTGGGAAGAATTGCCAGATTTCCAAGGCTTAAAAAAGCAATAAAGAGCGCTATTATGCGAAATGCATGGTGATTAAAATATTAATATCAAAAATGGAAGAAGGTAAAATTATTTTTTTTTATATCGAAACAGCCGCGCAGGCAGAAGCCTAAATGCCGGAACACCGCGGCTGCTATGATGATCCCAAAGAAATTTTATTAATACGACCCTTGAACTGCCTAAGGTTAGTAGAACTGGGAAAAGCTTCCTCCCGTAGACTGTTCCACAATCTAGACACCCTCGGGACAAAGGAGCGGTCGTATCGGCCAGTTCTGGATGTACGAAGTTTGACACGGTTAGGATGGGACGCCGAAGTCAGGCGGGTCCGTCTGGCAGGCACATCGCGCGGCGGCATCATGGAAGAGAGCTCTGAGGAGCAAAGCCCGTTGGTGTAGCGATAGAAAAGAGCTAGATCGCCGACGGCCCGCCGGTGCGAAAGAGTCCCGAGACTGTCTGTTAGAGAAGAGTCATCGATCAGTCGGACCGCCCTCCTCTGGACAGCATCGAGCATGGACAATGTAATCGGGGCGGCAGCACCCCAAATGTGTGAGCAATACTCGAGGCTAGGCCTTATCTGGGCCTTGTATAGAGTGAGAAGGTCATGCGGAGAAAAGTACTTCTTAGCCCTAAACAAATAGCCTAGCTTTTTCCCAGCAGCTGCAGCTATTGAAGAGATGTGTTCGTGCCAGATCAGGTCCTCGGTGATCTGGACTCCGACCAGCCGAAATGAATGGCTCTTTGGTAGAACTCGACCGTCCATCGAAACTGTATGAGCGCTAGGACGCTTTTTGTTCGTCAAAGTACAGTACTGGGTTTTGGAAGCATTGAACTGTACAAGATTGTTGCGTCCCCAAGCAGTGATAGCCTCCAGGTCTCTTGTCAGAGAAGAAGTCGTCGCTAGTCTTCTTTTTTCCAGCTCAGCGGCAGATATCGGCTTGTCACTCTGAATTCCTGCATGTAGAGTGCTGTCATCAGCGAAGCTGTGGATTGGATTGATCGTGCAGGAAAGGAGGTCGTTGATATGTAAGAGAAGCAGTGTTGGAGCCAAGACCGATCCCTGGGGAACACCCGCGTTGACGTTGTGGGATGAAGAGGAGAATCCGTCAATTACGACGGATATCTTGCGGCCAGAGATAAAGTCAGCCACCCATCTGCAAAGCTTTTCTGGGAGGCCGTAGGATGGAAGTTTGCTTAAGAGGGCAGCGTGCCACAGCTGATCGAACGCTTTCGTGATGTCAAGAGCAACGACATGAGCCTCACCATGAGACTGGATGAGTTTACTCCACAGTTGCGTGACGTAAGCTAGGAGGTCCGCTGGGGATCGTTGGTGCCGGAAACCGTACTGCCTGTCGCTAATCAAGCTGTGACGTTCGAGGTAGTCTAGAAGCTCGCGATTTATGCACCTCTCCATCACTTTACTTTACTTATAACAGAATTAATCTATTTGAGAAGATTTTAGATTATATAGATTATTTTATTATTTCCAGGAGAAATTCGTTTGAGCGCATTTTTGGCCGAGCACAATTTGCCATTCCTGTTGATGGATCATTTGGCAAAGCAAAATTAGTAGATAACATGACTGATAAAAACTTACACAAAAATGAATCCGAAGAACACATTTTTTAGTTTATACACTTTTTCTGATTTTTTATTTATAAAACTACCGAAAAATTCCATACAATTCTACCGAATTATCGTCGACTCCAACACTGGCAACACTGATCGTTGGTATCGACAATAAAAATCGACAAATCTAGTTGGCTGTGGGCCGGTCCATTCGTCGGATCGTAGACGGCTAACAGCGTCACGTGACCCGAGGATTTCAATATTTCGAACCCGACGCGTCGGAATCGCAGTCTTTTTCTTGCGTTTGAAATGGTTTTTACGGGGTTTTCGACCGTTTTTCAATAAGTGTGTGATTTCTGGATAATCGTGAAAAGTGAAATAGTGCCGTTTGTGCCTTGGGATTTACTGGAGGAGACGTTAAGCGACACAAGCAGGTAGGATTTGAATTGAGGAAACATTTTTAATCATAGGAATCGCTGGAAATGACTTATAGCGATTTAACTTATCTCTGCTAAATTAAACCAGCTTAGACTATAAACCAATATCTTTTTCCAATAATCAATGTAACTGTGGCTTCGTTTTGAATCAGCGTTGCCAATCCCATGCGAGAGAAAAACTGTATATGAGCTTGAAAAAAAAAACTGTATATGATCTTGAAAAAACTAGATAACTGTAAAATATTGTAAAGCTGTAAATCTACAGCCTTCCATTTGAAATTTGAATGATAAATGCAAGAATTTCCAGGGCTCACTGAGATATTACAATGTTTATTTCCCAAACTTGTTTTTTGCTCGTTTTTGTGTATTCTCCGGAGGCGTCGTCGGGTTTTATCGAATTTTTATTACTGCGAGAAAAATTAAAAAAGTTGCTGGAACATACTTTGTGGTGTATGAAAAAACGATTGAGCTACGGATGATTACGAAATCCATAAATTTAGATTTTTGAAAAGTTATGCTCATGTTCGGAACGGAAAGAGATACCGAGTTCGGAGGTTCTTGGCCAACTCTTTGAAGGTTCGATCGGTATATTTTTTTCATTTATCCACTTATACAGGATGAGCAACGGAAGTCAGGTTTTTTCAGCAAAGTTTGGGGCTATGTCAGATTCTCATTTTTTTATCTTGGTAATTTGTCTACGCATCTTTTTGATCTTTGAACTATCATAAAAAAAGTAATTTCTCAAATTTTGGGAAAGTTGGCTATAAGTCAAATTAACGAATTTTCAAAAAAAAGGGACTTTCTTTAGGGTTTTTCTTGAGAATGGATATTTTTTTATACTGTTGCTCGGGGAAAGATTGAAACACTAATTGAACGTTATTGCCTCCAGTGGCATGCAGTAATAATTTGCTAATTTGGTTTAGTAAGAAGTACTAGTATAACTAAAAATTGAGGACCAATCAAGATGATAAATCAAAACTACATCATTCACTAAGCGACCTT